GATTTCAAGGGCAGACACCCGGCCGGAAATCTCGGCCGAGGTGAAGGAGAGCCCAGGAATACTGCCCCACAGAGACCCACGAAAAGCACCGTGGCTCATCGAGGCAGCAGGGGCATCTAAACAGCCAGTAGACCCGTCTGCGTGGCTGTTGCCTTTTGTATTTACAGTGGGACACAGACTGAGAAAGGCAGGTGATTTTTCACCCATGGCGACGGAGAATGCCTAAATGAGGCAGTGTGAAGCTTGCGCTATATCCAGAACCCAAACTATTAATTCAGTCGGGAAAAACAGCAGCCAAAAATGGCAAGGAATCGATGCCATGAGGGCGTTAACCCCTTTATAAAGCCGGAAGACCTGCACTTGTGGCTCATCTCTCTATCGCTTTTGATGATTCTCACTTCAAGTCTTTCTTTTGCATCGCAACAATTTCGCCTAGGAAACGACCCTCCATGGGTTGATTTTGGTAAGTCTTTACATTTTGCCGTCACTATATTTATTTTGGCTTGCGACTGAGCTTGGGTTATACGGAAGGACAAGTCATCTACTTCAGGCCACTTGCTTGCCGTTGTGCTATTCTTGTTTGATGCAGCAATCCTCGTCAACTGGGGATTTGTTTTTGGCGCTTGTGTCATAATGTGGTCTTTGGCGCGCACAATGGATAATGAGAAGGCGGAGTGGAAATTGCTGTACTTGTCTATGGCTTCCGTGTTGGTGCCTCGGTCTTGTTTTCCACTACGATTCGGCGAATGCGTCATGAATTATATGTGCTTCGCGGGATTCAACTTCTTCATTGGCAACCCATCGTGGAAGACACATGTCTGCTGCGGTGTGTCTAGGACCAGAGAGCAGTTTAAACTTCAGGACTCTTCATGCATAGACAATGCAGGAAATCTGCTATTTGCAGGCCATCACTGTATAATTCAGGCATTGAACTTATGCTCAACATACTCTAATTGCGTATTGCATTTTTTGTGCGTTTGCTGCTTTTGTGCGAAGGTTTTGCGGTGGTAGTAGTAACCATATCTGATTTTGCTTGGGGAACACTGCCCCCCTTGTTTGTAGTAGTGAAAGCAGTTTCAGCGGTGGTGACAGTGGGAATCGGGTACATGGGATACCAAATCGTGCAAGTTTTTCATCGGCATCTTCGGGAAGCAAAACGTCCTACTTTGCCAATGAGCTGCTCCTTTACAACTGCTGCGGAGTGCAAAGAAAAGGGGAGATCTAACGGACTGTCAATTCATCCAAAAAGAGAGACGTCATTCAGTCTTCCCCACAGAGACTGTCGACGCCGAATCCGGATGTTCAAACGAGCGCGCGTGCATGATTCCTCCGCAATTAAGAGCAAACACGTATTACTCACAAAATGCAACGGCGTTGCTGCTCGTTCAGGTCGCCAACGTCCCCGCCTGTGTGCAGTTTCCTCTAATAGGGTCGATGTGCGTCGCTATTGGACGACCCTGGATAACTACGCGCCCTTGTTCTTCCAAGCTGTACAAAGGCGTCTCATTTTGTGTAAAGACGACATGCTACGTTATGTCACCGAAATTGGTATTTTGAGTCCTTTTAATCCTAAGAATTGCCCACTTCAGGAAGCTTTTTCTCCCAAGGTTCTTTAATTAAGTGCACAATGATCTCTCCCTAGCCAGTTTAGAGCCAACGCACATTACATGCCTCAGAAACGAGAGCAAGAGATACTGCATCTCTGACCCCCTCAAGCTACTAGTTCTTGTAAATGAACATGTTCACCTTGCAGTCTTTGTTTTTTGCCGTCAGAAGATTCGGGCGTTTGGAGCAAGGATAAGGAGCCCCAGCTGTTTGTTGTGCCACGTTGCCATTACGGCTATGTTGACTCCAAGTGGTACTTGGACATGAGCTTACCCCGACCGCTTCGGGGCTATTTTTGCCATTCGTTTCGTGCTGGCGCTAAGAGCATGCATTTTATGCCTGCGGCACGCGCATCCCCTGAGCAAGCTGTTCCCGACGCGGCTGTCGCTTGGACGACTTCACCGACTCCAACTTACACAGCGTGCATGGGCTTTGATTCAGTCGAAGCTATGAGGAGGTATCGGTCTCTATTCCATAGCTCAGTGTCTGCTGAGCACAGTCACAGTGACCAGTGTAACTCATGTGAAAATGGCACACTGGCTTCTGCACACCCGTACAGGAAAGATAGGCATCAAACTTGCAGGCAGCAGGACTGCCCTCAACCAGGGGAAAAGAGCAGCGGTACAGCAGAATCTGCTGTAATTACAGTGCAGCAAAATCACGACTCTTCTGTCCTTCACAAGGAAGACCAATCAAAAGCAGGAAGAGTGACAGATTTCGTTGGACATGATGATTCCAGCGGTCGGTGCAATGATAGGGTGAGCGCTTTATGCCTGGTTCGCGCTTGTCGAACGTCAGTGCACTTTGGAATGCCGCCATGTACATTCAAAGTGAGAAATTCAGCTCAGGCAGAAAAGTTTGCAGACGTCCTTTCCCCCCAATTGCCCTTGTTGCGCAGATTCATTATTCTCAAAGGACTTGTGGAGGTTGCGACTCAAGGTGCTTCCTTAGATCAAGGCGCCTTGCATGGAAGCTCAACGCGTCAGAACCGACAAAGTGTGCCATGACATTAAATCGGTAAGCCACGGATGAAGATTACTGTCTCTAAAAACTGAAGGACCTGCGTTGCTCTAGTGAACTATGAGTCAGGGTGTTGCAGGTTGAGCTCCAGCCAGTACTTGTTTGCTAGCTTGATGCCAACAAAAACCATGATGGACAGAACAGAGGCTATCGGCAAATCTTTGCGGAATTCCTGTCATCTCTGTTGTGCAGCAGCCCTTGCCTCCATGCAGAGAGCCAGTGGTGCGGCTGTTTGAAGCACCCTTCCGCTCAAGAGAGCAACAGAAACCCAGACTGCAGAGAGCCGTACGGCGGATTGGGGATCAGAGAGGAGGTAAGGCATGGGCCTTTAAGCAGACCATTGAGACGCAGCTGGCGCATTAACGTCTTTCTGGAACCAAGGCAGGGCGCATTTACTCGCGGCTGTTGTTTTCGGCTGTTATTTTTCCAGACTATTATGCCAAGAATGAAGCTGGGAAAGTTTGAAGACAGCGCGATTGAACGCTGGTATCTCCTCTGGCGGGCTGAGTGCGTACCTGGCTTTTACAAGGAAATCTCTAACATCAATTTGCTGATCTGCGGCCTACAATGTATATTTGAAGTGCTCAAGGGTTTCGCCGTAGAATGTTTTGGCCTTGCAGTAAGCCACTTCCACATCGCTTACACAGCTGGATTCGTAATGTGCTATCTTTGTGGGCTTGCTACATGTTCAGAGCTAACTCGTTGAAGGAATTTGAGTTGCTCAGAGAACACTCGCTGGCTATCGCTCAGCGCAGACATTGTTGGCGCCTTCTCCATAGAGTGTATACTGGGAAAAACACATTAGCCTAGCGTAGTTTACTTTGTGCGGCAGGTCGATAAGAACGGTGCCACCACCACGGACCAATTGGAGCTCCTTGGCGTAGTCATTCAGAAGCCTTCATGGGGGTTGATTTTATCTGCGTTGTGCAAGCCTTTGCTGGAGTTCGGAATTCTATCGGCACTCATAATACCCATGAAGTTTATGGAGAGCCGTGGTGCAAGAAATGCATGGAAATTTCAGCTTCTAGGACTTGGGCAGGCAGTGACGTAGTAAGCATCAGCATGGTAGAGAACCCCTACGCGCGCACTTGTATACAGTGTAAATGCAGAAGTCAAGCAGCATGAAAGACCGGCCATATGAGTTTAATTGTCGCTGTTGCGTGAGCTGTTGCTTTTCTTACGCACAGCATGATATTCACGTTTTGCGACTTGTCAAGGAGAAGCTTCACGATCTCTAAAGGGCTGCATGTTACCGAAGCAACTAAATTCCCCAAGGGAATGGATGCCAATTTCGTCGTTGGTGGTACGCATAGTTGAAAACTCAATTGTGTTCCTTTTGCAATGAAGGCGAGGATTGCATAAATTTGTGCACTTTCTTGGCGTCACGATGTCTATATCTCTCCAGTATTTCTTTTACTCGCGCAGGCCACCTCGTACTCCCCATGTTCATCGTAGCCCTAACTGTGCACCTGAGACGCATCCCAGAGGCTACTATCCTCTTCACCTCAGCAACTTCGGCGGTCGTGACGGTAGTAATTCTGTCGATCGTGGGATGGGAGTTCAAAGTTGTAGCATTCCTGATGCTGTCTCGCATTCAGTATTCCCTTTTCGCCATAATGGTGGCGAGGTACGACAGTGTCCCAGAATACTGTGCTAGCTCAACTAATGTTTGCATCAGGTTCACACAGGCTGAGCGCGTGCGACGGATTTGGATGTGTCTTTGGTGTTTTTTATTGTAGGGCATTTGAGAATGTAAGAAGGAAGCTCTTCTCAACTCAGGTTCTTCCTTTTCTGATGTACTTGTCTACGTTGGCGAATAGCCAGCGAGTTAAAAGCATATGCGCTCTAAGGACAGAACGGCGCCGGTGTGGTTGCCAGCACATTGGAAGTCATTGAGGCAGCCTGTAATGCTGTCCTAACGCAGAGTACAGCCCGACTGTTCCTCAAACACGGTGTTTTTCATGAATGTTCTAATAAACAGGTCTTCTTCCTTTGGTCGAGCTGCCCAAGTGGAATGTGAAGGCAAGGCGTTGTCAAGAAGACAAAAGCGGTGTTCATAAAGGGGCAGTATATTCCCCTTAAATTGTGGGACTATCTTTTGTGCACAAAGTGGAACTGTCAAGGCCTACAGTGCAGCCAAAAGTGGTCCACTCGTCTTTGGTGACTACGAAAAGCAGCTGGAAGAGGAACGTGACCGCTGTCACTTCACTGCATGGCTTCAGCAAGTCACGTCCTCTTCACCTCAGACATGTGCATGTATATTTTATTTACGAACTGCTTGAACCACAACTCGTCAGTCACACAGACGAGTCACATGTCCCTAGCTCTGCCCACTTCTGTGTACATTTTGCATGCAAATTCATCTACTCCCTGGTCTAATTCATCGTCGTTTTTCTGAAGAGGCTGCCAGCTCTCGACAAAATGCCTCTTGAAGTCTTTGTTTTCGGCCTCTCAGTTCTTGGAGCTTCGTCGGATTCACTCGGACGCTCTCTTTGCTGACGGCGGTGTCGTGCTTGTTTGCTCTTTCCGTGGGACTGAGCTGGCTCCTCTGGTGGTGAACCTGGAGACTCAGCTGTCTTTCCCTCCCGATCTCTTGAGGAATGGGCCGAGTTTTGTCGTCCTTCAGGTGTTTTGGATTGGGATCGGTGCCGTCTGCTCTCTGGACTCGCTGACAGCTGGCGGGGCCTCTCTCTTGGCGAATGATCACCCGCTGCTTGGCTCTCGTTTTCAGACAACGGAATAGAGGACTCCTGACGACGATGACTCCTTTCCTGCTGCCCTCTTCGGCTAAGACGCTCAATATCGTGGGACCCTCGGTGGCCCTCCCTGTGGCTCAACTGAGAGTGTCTGCGTGAATCTCTTCGAGACGAAGTACCCTTCGAAGGAGAACGCCGATGCGAGCTTAAGTCTTCCGGCGCCCTTAAGGCATCATGGCGTGCCCTCTCCGCAGCTCGCTGGCGAATATGCGGCAGTTGCGCGAGTGTCCTGTTAATGGCTTCTTTCCATACTACGGCGGGTTTTATGCCTGCAAAAGACATGAATGTACATGACTGATTTTTCTCCCAACACGCTGGCAACGAAGCTAGCACTTTTGTCTACAGTTAGTCTACGTAGAAATACAATGTAGTTGCCTTAGCTAACCTCTTTGCTCAGCATAGGCACTAAGCTTCATGTGAACGCGGTGAACGATAGCTTCGTGCTTGCTTGCAATCATTGGAGGACCGTGGGTACCACTCAGCCGGCCAAGACCAACAACCCAGCTGAAGCAACACATGTAGCAACTTCAGGTAAAGCTGTTGAGTTGTGTACGTACACATTTCGGCAACAACATAACTTCTATTGTGGCCACAACACCTGAAACAGCGAAGTCACCGTACTCCTGTGCGACTTCGTCGGTCTGCGCCCGAAATTCAAAAGTTTTTGTCAATGTCCTGACAGTGAAGCACCTCCACGGAGAGGCAAATGGCTCTGAAGAGGTCTTGGCGCCTTTCCGCACGTACAGACTCCAAAGATATGCAGAGGATGAAGTTCCGTAGTCAATGCCAATAATATCCTTCAGCACATGGCGCCAGAAACAAAGCGGAAATTGCATTCTCTAAAAGCTTCTTCGTTGAGACACCCACACTCAGCCTGCGCTATCCCGTCACGCACCTTAGCCACGAATTGTTCTGACCTCTTGAAGCCCTTCTTGCCATTTAGATCTTCGGTCCACATGATAATCCCCCGCTTGAACATCTGCAACGCATTCAAAGTCGCTAGCGCTGTGCTTGAGTACGCGCTGCGAACCTTGTGTGGAGGCCTCTGCAGTTAATGCGTACAGAATTAGACCCAGGTGAATGTACAATCAACATAACACGTCCTTCGGACCTTCAAATAACGCATTTCAGGTCGGCGGCTGCTTGACTTGCTCAGCATCTCGAGAGGGGATCCAACTCGCATCGTGCGCATTTCTCCAGTAAGCGGTTCCTCTGTCCTCCAGCCATAAGCTGCGGAATTCCTAATAATACGGCGGCTAGCAATTTTGGCCCTTTGTGTCTCACGCCTAAGTTTTTGAGTTACAGAAGCCAGCTGTTGTTGCAGTTCTTCAGCCTCTCTCTCCTGGCCTTTCAATTTGGCTTCTAATTTTTCCCTCTGTTTTCCAGCTTTTTCGTACTCTTGCTCAAGTACAGCAACTTCCTGCTGCCTTGCATGGCGGAGGGCATCCATCTGAGCACCCAGCAACAATAAGCTCTAGTTTCGCTTCTGCATGGCCGGCAGATGCTGCTGAGGGCGTCGCAGAAGTGTCGCCAGCAGAGCCTTTGGAAGCAGCGTCCAAACAGCGAGCACCCTGGCTTTGCGTGGTGGCGATGGTTGGATGGAAGGGGCAAATGGAGCTAGATGCCATATGTCAGCAGTCTTACCTGCTGAGCCAGTTCATTTACTGCTAGTGCATCAGCAGCTCCTTGGTCGAGCTGTGACAGAACTGCAAGGGCTGAACGCTCGGCACTTTCCAAAATCGCCATCGCCTTGGCCCTGCGTTCCTCTACGGAGTCGTGCCAGGCTTGCATATCTTTTTCATTGGCCTCAGCTTCCCCAGAAAGAGCCTCGAACTCCTGTGCTAGTTTCTCAAGCGACTCAAGTTTTTGCTGAACTGTGGAAGCGGAGCTTTTCTGGTCTCTCAGCTGTTGCTGCAACGCTTCTATCTCTAGCCGTGCGGCAGTCAAGGCCTCTCGCGTCTTGTTGTGAGCCTCCTGTTCTCTCTGCAGCAGTGTTACGCCGTCTTTGCCCTTCTCCGTCAGTTCAGCTATCTGCCTATCCTTGAGGGCCACTGACTCATTTAACTGTTTGACTTGTTGCTCCGCTATGTTTGCTCGGTCCCTTTCATTGCGCCTTTGCACCTCCTTTTCCTGTAGTGTAACGACACAGTTACAAGCACAAAGATAATTCCTGAAGAGTCCAGCTGTCATTTTCTCAATGCTACACAAATATACTTTGGCTTCGAAGTCGGAGGGAAATGGTCTGACGGGAATTCCTAGTATGCGGAAGTGCTTGTGCAACTATTCCTACACCAGTTAGCGTTAACTTCCTGTCTCTCTCATACCAGCAACTGGACGCCTTGAGCCTCTACACATCGTCTAGCGTATGCGAGCTCCGCCTCTTTCGTTTGTAGCAGGGCTTCGGCTCTTTGCGCGTTGCTCTGCGCTATTCGCAATCCGTCTTCAAACGAGCTTCGTTTCTCTTCAGCTTCTTGCAGGTAATGAATGAGCTGGGAATACCTCTGCTGGAGCGTTATTGCTTGTTGGTCCCGTTGTTGTCTGCAGCTCACCTCAGTAAGACGTTTCCTTGTCTCCTCGTCCACTTTGTCTTTCAGGTCGACCAGACGCTCCTCTGCCTGTATTCGCTCAGCCATTTGCTTGTCCCTGAGTTCGCCAAAGCAAGCAAAAGGCATCCGTGAGTGGGCAGTAACTTGTATGTGGGCACTAGCTTACTGCACAATCACGTGCAAGTTCATGCACGATGGCCGTGGAAACTGCTTGTGTGAAAGCTCGTCTGCTCCTGAATTCAACATCTCACTGTGCCGCTTTCTGGTGTTTAATAGCTTCTACCGCTTCTTCATGTCGTCTCTGGAGCGCCATGTTTTTCAACAAAGCTCGGCCTAATTCCGTCTTGTACGTGTCACAGAACTCATGTTCTTCTTCTAGCTGGGCTCCCAAGTAGACACACTGCTCTTCGTATAGCTTTATTTCAGCTGTTCTGGGGGAGAGCCCTTCCGCTGTCTGACTTCCAGGCAAGTCTTTCACAGACGCTACGGTGCTGTTGCCTTCTTCCCCTGTCTTCCTTCTTAGGGCTGCCTGGAGCAGAGCCAGATGTTCCCTCTGTTTCGCAGACTGCTGCTGCAATCGCTTTGTCCGCTGCTCCATCTGCCACACCCTTGTGCTGGGCAGCAGAGCACGCTGTAGCAAACGCGATTCTATGCCCTCTCCCCGAGGAGATATGTCTTTCGTCAAGGGCCGGTCTACCTCGTTCCGAGGAAACGTTGAGCCGACATCCGTTAGCACGGGTCGTACAAGCGGAGGTCTGAATCCCTGGGTACACACAGCCCACAAGCACAGTCTCATGCTCAAAGGAACTCTACTTTTACAATGCTCTGGCATGCTCTAGCCTACATATTATATGGATTTTGCAGTGTGCTTGGCCACCTCATGCGGAGTCCGCAACAAATGGCCGCGATGCCTTGGGGATTGTATGAATGCCACTATTGCTGAATGCAGCAGCAGCACAACTTTAATCACTTGCGCCTAAATGTCTCTGAAGTGCCTTTCCCTACAACGGGTTTCTCTCCTTCTGCTCTTGGTTGGCCTTGAGCGCCAAGTCGCCTCGCCCACTGAGCAAGTTTTAAACGTTCCGCTTTCAGTTTCTCCATTTTTGGGGTCAGTGGGTCATTTGTGTATTCATAAATGATGCGATCCGCCATCTGCAGGCAGCTCACCACAAGCGGAGGCAAGTCTAATAATATGTCCGCAAAAGTCATCTAGAACGTCTGAAGTCCACGCCACGAAGACATGGTGCAACGAGGAGTGACGCATGTGACGTTAAATGACTCGTACTTTGCAGTTCGGCAAAAAGCGGCTCATGCCTACGATTTTAGGCTCAAATTTGTCTATTCTCCACAGCATGAAATAACGTTGCAGCGGGCGGAAATATTTGCTAACCTCTCGACGATTGAAATCCTCTTGGCAAGCGTCTTCATCGAGCCGCTCGTTGACCGCCAGGTCTGCCGCTCTGAGGGTCCGCCTGACGGCAACGTGCTCTTTCGGCTGTGGCGGCGAAACTTCAGCTTGCTGAGCTTCGTCGATTTCCCATTTTACTTGTGGCTCTTCTTGTTCTGTTCGCGGACTGCTCTCGCCCTGCTCCGCCTCTTCCTCTACAATTTCCCCACTTTTGTCTTCTCCATCTCTCTCCTGAATGCCTGCTCCTTCCGAATCATCTGCATCCGCAGCTTCAGCCTCAGGCTCTGACTCTGACTCCTCAAGCTCCTCCCCCGGCACGGAAGTCTCTCGGGATGGCAGCTGCGGCCAGGTAGTTGGCTCCGGTGCAGAACTGTCAGATGACTCTTCAGATGAGCACGAGCTTTCCGGATGGCTATGCTTAAACAATTTCACTTTAAACCTCTGCAGGGGACGCGGCATGATGGTTTCCTCCACAGCGGCTGAGGGGCGGGGCTCTCCACTGTCTTGATACACAGGATCAGTCTTCAAATCGTCAATGAAATCCGAAGCGGTCAAATTTAGAGTTTGGTCACTTCCTTCGCGAGATAAACTAGAGCTGCTCGAAATTTCCCTTTCCAAGAGCCTTAAGAGGTCCTTGTGAGCCGCACTTGCTGTAAGGGAAGTTCGGGAAGAGCCCACTGGCTCACTATCACTTGACTCATCGTGCCGCTGCCCGCCTTTCCTCAAAGAATTTGAGGAGCTCAACCCATCCAAAAAATCTGAGTCATCAAAGTCATTCAAATCTGAATCGTAAGAAATAGCGGAAGAGTCAGCGCTCTTCCACGCATCTTTCCACCGCTGACCAATCGCTGCCCGAGACATCATCAGCTGCGACTGAAGGGCCGCCAGTTGGTTCTCCCGTTTCGACATATCAGGCGCTGTTTCTGCTGCTTTTGGAATGGAAGCTGCATGAGGAAGAGGAGTTCGCTTTGGCAGCGGCCGTTTGATTGCAATGTTCTTAGTACGAACAACCTTCGGCGGCGCAAAAGGCTTTTTCGTCACAGCCGCAGTTACAACTCCAGGGTTTTTTTTTGAGATGGCACCTGGAGAGCGTGTTACTGGACCTTCAGATGTGTTGCTGCTGGTGCTGCTGATGCTGACGGAATAGCTGCTACGCGGCGAACTGCTAGAGCTGCTCCGACCCCCGTCAAGGGGGTAATCGTCATCTGATTGTGACATCCTGACCTCCGCATGTGCGTAGTCTTTCGACCATCCATAAAGTCTCCTGTGTTATCGACACAGGCCTTGTTACTAGAAAGAAATCCTACAATCCCGTGCAACCAGAGTTAACTGCTATCTGTGATCAACAATTGGGGGGCTCCTGCAGATCCAATCTTGGAAAAACACACAGAAATCGTCGACTACTTGAAGCTTGAAAGGTGCTCAATAAACGAAATTTAAGCGATGAGGGAGTTTCCCAGCTATTCGGATGATCGTGAATTGGGTCAAGAGTGCAATGGCGGTCGTAGGCCAGCTGAGACGACTACTGCCGGTGGCGCCGAACTACCGATACACCTGTTAACATCAGAATCAAAAAAATATTCAAAAAATTTTAATACCACGTGACCCCCCGAAACGTGCTAGCCACAGCTTTGTGCTCCATGTCTTCCTGGAATGTCGCTCGAGGCACAGCCGCGTGCTGCCAGCAAACCGCGCAGGCAGTCACCACCAGATATCCAAAAAAAAATTAAGCAAAACTTGGCACACATGACATAACTAAGTAAGTAAAAATAGGGAGTCATGCTTTTTAGTTTTGGAGAGCTGCTTTTACTCGCCAACATAGCATGCCTGCAGTGGCCGCTGGTCTGGTGGTTTCCGGTAAGCATTTGCAACTTCGGGTAACTGTGTCTGGGACAAAGACCATCCACTAGGCATTTACATCAACAAAGAAAAACGAATTTTCCTTTTCTAAGCATGTTTACTTAATGTCTGAATAGCAGTATAAGCATGAAAGTCCCTATCCGCCGTACATACTACGCTCTGTGTCCCCCGCATGCAGACGAGGGGCCAACGAAGCATTGCATGCATGAATTAAGTAGCAGCTTTCACTGGTGAGGTGAATATACATACTGCCACACCTCCTCATTAGAGTATTTCGGGTTGCTAACTCCTGTATTCTGGAGGACGGCTGCGGACTTCGCAGCCACGGCGCCCGCTCATCTTGCGTCATGATCTCGAGGATGTTTATGCTGTTCTAGCCTTCAGATTGTCCATAGTACTCCATATACTGTTAGGTTATTACCTAGCGCAGAACTTGTTTCGTTGGGACGCAACTAGTATGCCATTCAAGAGAATGGCAGCTTCCTCTACTGGTTCCAAGTGATTGGTGATGTCTCCGTTGATCTGATTGTAAAACTGACGCCTTCGCAGTGGAGATCTTGTCCTTGTTCAGTTCATGGACGGCTTTCTTAAAGTGCTGATCGCGGTCAGTCAACATGTTTGTGCGCACCAGCAGTAGCAGCTGCTGGAGGAAGACCCTCGACGAGTTGTTTCTCTCAAGCCCACTGCTGAGAGGACACTGGAACATGCATCTGCTGCGGATATTGCGTGCTTTTTTCCTACTATGCTTGTTCGAATCAGCTGCAGCAGAACCGCCGACTGCTGACAACCCCAACAGCGTCATTCAGATAGACTTCTCCCGGCGGCTAGCTGATGTAGATATCCCAGAGTGCGCTCGTAACCAGATTGTATATACAACAATGGCAGACTATGAAATTGCATCTTTACTGCCACAGCGGTCTTCATCAGGTCTTTACATGCTAGATAGGCTGGAACATTTCCTATCGGAGACTCCAGAAGCAGACCCCGACAAAGTGCCACTGTCCGGGGATTCATCTCAAGATGCAACCAAAACAAAATGTGAAATGCCAACTCTGCTTTCTCATGAGCTACACGTCGGCAGCCCGGAGCTTCAGAGCTACCTGCGCGCTGCGCGATTGCGTTGGCTATTGGACAGATGTTTTCGTTTTTCGGATGTCGGCGTTGACGACTGGCGCTATGAGCTGTGTATCGGGTGCGCCATTCAACATGGCATAGCGCCGCAGAGTGCGCGATTAGTGCATTGCCATCGAAGAAGTGTAAGAAGGCGAAGTAGTAACGATGGCGCTACTGAATCCTTTGTCACGTTTGCGGCCAGCGAACTGCGTTCAGGCGGAAGGTGACCCTATTCAAAAGCAGCGCGCTTACTGGGAAAACAGTTGGGAAAAATCTTTTTGAGCTAGGCACATATGCTTCTTCAATGGATCAGCTGTGGGCGGATGGCACAATGACGCAGGTGGGTTCAGCCAAGGGAACAAGCACCTTCTAGTTTTTCTAGGAATTGTTCATCAGCTTTTTTACGTTTTGCCAAGATATCATGCTAGTTTGCTCAGCGTACAAGTACCGAGCAGCCCACGTGCTACTGTTGTCGCCCGGTGTTCCACGTAGTCATTGTTCGGCAAGGATAGGAAGTCCAAAGGCAACGGCCACATCACAAAATGGCATCAGCAACGAGCTTTGCCACAGCAGATAGGAAAGTTGCAACTTGTGCAACAATCGTTTTTTTGTTTCCCTGCAGTGGTACACTGGGGGCACGGAGGGCCGGCAAACGGAAGTCCGATTTGTGTGCGGCGACACGCATCCGCGAGTGAAGGGAATATCGGGTCCACAGAATGGAAAGTATCGCGTGTGGTTGGAGGCCCCCATGTTCTGTGACTACCGCGAGAATGCGCGTGAACCTGTGAGCTACCCAAGATCGTGAATCAGAGATGCCAATATGTGACAGTCACGTGGAGGGGTCCGCTTGACCGGCAGTGAACTTGCTCAATGCGATACTTCGGTGGCAGCGTTGACACGCAGGCCTTAACTGAATCCCTGATTCGGAGCCTTGAGGGTTGGTGCTCAACTTTCACCACCGACGGCTGGTGGTCATACGAATATTGCCATCCAGACAGTTTAGTGGAGTATCACAAGGAGCCAGACGGTGCGTAGAATAGGAATTGTTGTCTTGAGAATATACGGGCTAAGAAAGCAACGAACGGAGAGGATTTGTTTTCGAAGGCTCTCAAGCTCCAACGCGTGGGTGGCATTGTGTAGAATTAAGCCAATCCTGTTTGCATCTCAGGTGAAGTCAAAGGTCCATTGCATCTTTTGGGAACATTGCATGCTTCTGGGGATGCAGCGGAGCTGATTTTTAAACGACCAGATCCGGCAAACCCAACGTTGCGGGGCACGGATACTCTACCTCCTAGGGCGAATGGAGCTCCTCGATTTAAGTTCTTGCCTGTGGAGATCATTGACAAACCAAAGCAATTCTCAAAGAGCCCAACACCAGCGTCTAGCAAAGTCTTGGCGCTCCAGCTTACAAATGTAAACATAGATGGCTGTTTGCAAGGCTCAGCTGGCACCAGCAAATAGTAGCACAAAGCATCTGGGGCTGAAAAATGAAGAACGGGCGTAAATGGCTCTGCATTTTCAGGGGACCGTTTGTGAAGGTACAGACAAGCAACGCAGCGCTAGAGTTCTCTTTGAGTGTCCGGTTGATTTTCCAGTGTTGGCGACGCACCGCATTGTGCAGATTGAAGAGGTGACCAGCCACCGCACATCAAACCCTTAACGGTCCCTCTAAGCTTTAAACTGTTTCACGCGCAGCGAAGAGCGTGCTACTTGGAGATCTGCATAATTGTGTGCTAGAACGTAGTAAGCGTTGGACGGCCATTCTCATTTTGGCACTTTGTGCATTCCAAGATCTGTATGGAACGCGTTTTCAGACATCGTTTTGCACGTACGACCTTCTCATTCACACGCCGCTTGTCTGCCCCCATCCCAAACTGCTGCCCCCAAGGCCTCTCGATGCTCAGGTTAGCGCTGGTAACGTTGATACATCGTGTGTCTTTTGATATTGCACGTTTGGGGAACGAAAACCTGGAATGCATTCTCGAATTTAACGGAGATGTGAGGTGATCCAGAAATGCGCCTTTGCAATGCACGCTGGTGACGCTTTCTCACAGGCAGTCTTGGGATATCCAGTGAGGAGAACCTTTACCTACACGATAACGCCTGCTAGCTGGAAGAGCCTGGGTGCTGTTGATAACGCTGAAGAGGTGAGCGAAGCCTGCGGCCGCTGGATGTATCCGTGTGCGAATTCATGATTTTGCGAATGCTTGGGGCACTACTGCAAAAGCCACAGATGCTGCTGAAGCCACAACGCATTTCATACAACATTTGGGCGTGGATAGGAGCCTTGAGTATCACAATGTATTGAGTACGGGGTGCGAATGTGCAGACTATGGGACAGAACCCGACAAAAGAAGCAACTACCAAGCAGCCCGTCGAAGCTCACCTGGAGGCTTTGCCCAAAGAAGCTGTAGAAATGCTCGCGGAGGGGTCCGTGGCTGCGTTATTCGTGTGAATCTGAGCGAGACACGCACCTAAGACAGTTTTTCTCCACTTCCATGCATGTATGAGCGCGTTGTTCGTATAGGCGCAATCTAGACTCGTTTGGCTTGGCGAAGTATATACGCAAACGGGTGTCAGTGGAAGAACCGAAGTTCAAAGTTGGCGAAATTGTAAGGTGAGCGTGTGATGTTGTCGGTCTAGCACCTCGTAGAATTCCATTTGATATTAGAGTGTTTTTCACTTTGTGGTCACTCATTTTTCGTCCAGACACCGCTGGTGGCAGTACACTGCGGTTGTGGTCTCCTGGGACGCTTCTTGCATGGCAAATAATGACTGGTCCAGCAAGGTGAGCCTGCTGCTTTTTGGTGCTCTCGCTGCTGCTCTTTGGTGCTCTCATGTTTTCTACCGAAGTGCATGAGGCTTGCATAGAGAGTGAACAGCGCTTGCACTGAAGAATGCAGACACTCTAGAGCGAAAAGCCCTTCCAACTTTTCTGTCTCAGGTGTACGCTGTATACCCCCAGTCTGTATTACAAACACCTCACTATCTTCTCCTGGTTGCCCAAGCAAGCGAAGCAGGTGACTCTCTTCCACTCTACGCATATGTTCCGGAAGTAAGTTGTGGATGGCCCTTCACTTATGCTTAGAGCTGCTAGGTGTAGACACTAAAATATCACAGTGGTTCGGTAGAATGCTGTGACCACACGCGAGCCGTGTTTTTTTGGCTGTCTTCAGGCAGGGCTGGAGGCTGTCTCAAAGGACATTTCCGAAGTGTCCCATCCAGATATTAATAAATATTTCGAGGCAAGTGGTTGGAGTCTCCTGGCAAGTGACCGCAGTCTAGCGAGCTCCAGGCATATATAGTGTGTGGTGTCTTCTGTCGACTGCAGGAGTTTTCTAAAAGCAGGAGACGCTATGTGATGAAGGCTGACAACTTCTTTGCAGCAAGCTTCCCTGACGATGCAAACTTATGAAGTACCTGACGCTTTCCCCCTTTCCCCGAATTTTCGGAGAATGCAAATGAGAACTAAGAACTGAAACAGCAGCTGCAGTTGTTGCTGCGAAGGACAGTTTGAGAACTGCTTATTCCTGTTTTGGTTTTTTGTTACCCCCGTTGCTGCTGTTTTACTTAACAGGTAGGTCAGCGTCTGCCAGTGCAGTGCGGCCCATATGAGGAGCTGCGGAGGCGGCACCGGATTGAAGACGAGGCCTTCCACTTCTGAGATGCCGCCTGCCTTGCTGGACTTTGAAGAGTACTTGACGGAACTCCTGAGTACAAAAATGCAAGTGCATGCATTTACAGACATTTAGTCATGCAGCTGTTGGGCCGAAGCCGGTCTGTGGCGTGGCCTACTTCGGATTCCTCAGAGGGAGTCTGTTGCTGCTGCTGTTCTGATTCGTGCAAGAGCTCTGCCTCTTCGTCCTGTTCACGTGCAACAGAGTTGCACCTGATTGTTTCCTCCTTTTGACAGCATTTACCTCAAGACTCTGTTCTTCTGCTGCGAGTTTTTTTAACTTCTTGCGAACATTCTGAAGTGGCGCAGTTGAGGGGTGAATGTGTAGAGCTGTCAGGCTTTAAAAGTAAACTTGCGGGACACTTCGACGGCACTTCGGGCTTGTCGCAATCAACTCCTAGCTGCCAGTGCAGCCCAGCTATTGAATGCAGTATATGGGGAAGGAAAGAAGCGGCTCACATCCTCTCGAGACTCTATCCATGGTCCCAGCTCAGCTGCCGGTGGCTATTGTCAGGCAGTTCACAATCTCGTGAGAAATGCGTGAAGTTTAAGCCCTCACTTCTTCTTTTTCCTTTTGCTCTGCTGCCGATATTAATTGTTCGCCGCTAGCTACAGCTGGGAGACGCCGAGGGCGTCGGGGACTCATCAGCGCTCGCTAGGACCTCATGAAGCCGCTGGCGGAGACAGACTAACCTAATTCTAATTTGGATTCTGTGGGGACACTTTCTGGCTTCTCTGCTGTAACTTCGTTGGCCTCGTGGATAGCCTCCTCTGCCGCTTTTTGTGCATCCTGTAGGCATGGAATGTGTCCCGATGGAGATGCAAGGGCTAATTTCTAGTTGCTCACGACCGCTTTTTTGTGTTCTTCATCTAGCTCTTCCTTTCTGTCTTTGTCTTCTCGATTCATAACATCTTCTTCTAATTCACTCTCAGCTGAAGTGCTGTTGGTGAAGTCTGCAGTCCTGCTGTGCTGGCCGACATACACTCGAGGTCACGAAGCATCATCGCCGTCTCTTTTGCTGCTTGTCATTTGAGTTGCGAAATCTCCGCTTCTGCTTATAAAAACATCAAACCTGCTTCCCCCGATATTTGTCGCGCTTGTTCCTTGGCGTCCTTTTTCAGCTCCTTTGAAACGGCTTCGTCGTCATGCCGCTTTGCTTCTTCCTGTAGACACCCCAAGCAGGCAGAGAAACTGCGCAATTTCCTCGTTGTGTTTATGCATGCAACGGACTCACGTCGTTCGCTTCTTGGCGAGACGACCAGTTATCCTCCAGCGCATCAGCCTGCTGTGCTTCAGCGACGACTGCAGTTTCTGCCTTTGGGAGGGTTAAGCTGAAGGCAGGACACCGAATCCCGATACAACATATTTCATACACCGTCAGATTCAGCCTCCTCGTCGTCTAGCGGTGCATCCTTTCAAATAAATGTTTTACGCACACAGAGGAGCCTCCTTGCCTGCTGTTTGTTGTTGAAAACGATGGGCGAAGGACAGAGGTGTAGCTACGTCCAATCTGTCACTGCTGCGCCTAAGCGCGGAAACAGGGGTTGCAAAGATTACAGCTGCCACCGCGGGCCACAGGATCTGATGACGCATTCTCTTTGTTAAAAAGGAAAAAGAAACTTCCTAGGTATCTGAAAAAAATCCCTTAGCGCGTGTAGGCCAGGCGTCGTTCTACATGGTCAAACGGACGCCGACTCAACGCTTCTTTCTAGCGTAGTGACACCCCGTGAAACTGCACCAGATGGCTCGGTTGTTTCACCGCCTTTCGTCGGTATTAAAAGTAGAGATGAAAGTCATGATCCAGAAAGATGCATGCACGTTTTGCTAACTTCAAGATTGAGGGAATAAGATACAGGATACAAGATTTGCAGCGCTGCGGTCGACTGGATAACGGAAACAATGCCCGTTTCGTCATCTCGTGATATACTGCTACTGGGCTGCCTGTAAGGAAATCTGCCGGGACTGGGATTCCATTGCACTAATGACGCTTTCATATATTTCACACTTTCGGAGAAATGTGCTGTCAGTACTGCCCTGTGCACTGCAAGCTTGACGAGCCTGAAGGCATCAGAAATGCAGAATGTCAGTCATTGTTGCCGACACCCAGTACCTGTTTTCAGAGGGCGGGTTAAACGTTTTTCACCTCCACAGAATTCTTGAACACAGAGCAGATCAACCAGCTGGGTTGCAGCAACGTGTGCATATATGTATCACCTCCTGTAGATGACTTCTTGCCTTATCAAGCTCCTTGGCATATGCATAGATCAGGCCCAGTGCACAATGGGCCATATCTGAGGATGACAGTGCAAACGGTGCTAACTGTACCGCTTGGCATTGCGCCTTGCCGCGCAAACGACGGACAGCAGCGCGCTAACAGGGGAATGTTTCAGCTCACAGTGGACTTTCGTTTCCTTCAGCGGCTCTTCGCTAGAGTAATTCACTACGTGGCGCATGTTCTCTACCGCTTCACGAATTTCTAGATCCGCTGCAGGCGACAAGGCAAACAAACATAGTGGAGCCTGACAGTGGAAGCTGCAAGTGGCATATTTTTTCATGCAGGCACTCAATTTCAAGAAACCTAGGAGATTGCGTGTTAACTTATTGGTACTTTATTGGAGTAAACGGCGTACTGTACATTTGCTGCCGGCTCTGGCTCTCCTCTGCAACGGCATTTGCCAAGGAGTTCGCAGCATCATGAACGAAAGTGGACGCAGCTTGTTCGAACCAATTCATGATGATCTCGCAAATGTTGACGTAGATTGCAGAGCATGCAGAATGGGAGTTTGCAGTGCCGCTTTTCTTGAAAACTTCTGCCTGAATAAGAGCCAGCGTGACCCTACTGACCCGTCATTACAGCCTAATTTAGCATTATCTTCTTAGGCTGTGTGTAAGGGAGCTCACCATATTAAAGAAGGACGGGACCACCCGGAAGTTTGTGGGACCGAACTCACAGGCGGCATAGTAAACCTGTGTGAATGCATTCATCTCGACCCGAAGTCCTTAATGAGATCAAGTTACACTGCTGAGATATCAATATGCATTTTCCCATGGCTTTATTTATTATTTTTAATATTCGGTGAGTAAAACCGAGGCAGCCTTGCGCCGTTCAGCTCACGTCCATTGCGCATGCACGAAGGGCCTGATCGTACTTGTTCTGCGACGCGAATAATCTGCCGAAATTCCTGTAGAGGCTGCATCTCGCTAATTTTCCAGCTTCTGGGTGCTTCGAGAGTACGTGGTCAGCCTGTTGTTTTTCGCATGCAGCGGACTGTCCATAAATTGAATTCGATGTACTGCGCACACTATGCTTGAGCTTGTGTTCCCTGGGAACAGGAGGTATAGGGAGTTCATGTGTTACGGAGTTTCACCATGCTTAACAACTCCTCTGCCGAGTTAAGTTGTTGTAGCCCTGAATTATTTCAAGACAGATGCGGAAAACCTTCCCTGACGTTCGAATTGGAAAGTAGGAATCATCCACAGGTGCAGTACTTCAACTTATTAAATTCCAGATTTCTTTTTAAGCACCTAAAGAAAAGGCTTCTCTGCATCTAAAGAGTACCTAGGTATATCTGGGCTAAGAGTAGCTGGGGTTGAACAACTTCCAAAGAGTTCAATCCATAAAGAATTTCTGCTGTCCTCGCGGCGTACAAAGCTCCAGCCACAGCCAAGTTGAAGTTACCCTGCACAACCCATGACTGGGCGGCAGCAGTGCTCGCTTCTAGGACGGCATTCTGCGTTCATAACGAAAATAAACGTATCAGTATCCCTAATAAAACTAATGCCTTTTGCTGGAACTAACTCAGAGAAATTAAAAACGGATCTGTAGGTTGTTGCACAACAGAAGAGATAGTTGGCAACACCTCCCATGCCTACAGCGATCTGTCTCCTCTTCTTTTTGTATTCCTGCCGCTCTCTCTCGGAGCCTATAAAGGTTGGAGTTTCTTGAAGTAGTTTGAGCTCACGGTGGATCATGTGCAAAACGCCGTCCCAAGCAACTTTGAAGTGCCTGACTGAACTGCAGACAAGGCACCAATTACGATAAACCACACTTTAACTTCAACAAAATGTTCCGTAAATTTCTCAGCACAACGGGACCCAAAAGACGGAAAGAAGCAACTCCAATTTTTGTTATTTTTGCGGGAGACACAGCTGAAAACCTTCAATTCAACTCATGTAGGTGACCCAGGAAGTCAGCCCACTTTGTTGCAGTACCCGGCGAAATGTGATCCATGAATCCGCCATGAGAGCATTCACTGCTTCGCTTTATTTTCTTTCTCAGGGCCAATGCCTTACCAGAACCATCCTGGGCATGCTGTGCATTTATACTCGGCTGGTTGAGCACATAGTTCGCACTTCGGTTTCTCTCCCCTTGGGAGCGCCAGCCTGCTGACGTGTTCGACGAACATCTTACGAACTGAGAGGAATGAACAAACTTTTTCAAACTGGGAATGAGTTTTGTGAAATAAACGAGAGGATCTTCTGGTATTTTTCTTGGAAGAGAGCAGTCGCCGTATAGGTACATGACTTACGACCAGCTTCAATTCAAGTTATGCTCATGCTAAAAATGAAGAGCGCTGCACTAAAGTATTACTTAAGAGCCATGTTAATCTGATCAAATATATTTTCGTCCATAGCTCCAAAAGACACTATTTTCTGCCTTAATAGGAACAGTCGGTGAAAACAGCCTCTGGCATGAGTAGCGCCGGCTGCTCATCTTGCCTGATAGAGTCGCCTCCATAGAAGCGGAACTATGAGGGTACACGCTGGAAATAATATTTAAGTTTAGTACCTCAGGCGTCTTCCTTGGGGGCAACTGGTTAGTGGCTCCAAGCACTAGAGCGCCCTCGAGCAGTGCTTAGCTTTTGCATCAGTATGTAGCGTCTACCTCTCACACTCAAAGAACTTGCTCTGTGGGCCCAGTTCTTCCAATTTTTCAGCTTTTCCTCAGTATAAATGCATACGGGTCAATTTTTGTATGATGTTTCTTACCACTTGGCGCTATCCTACTGCCCGAAGAGCACCAAAGGATTTAAGCGGGGCTGCGGGTGACCAAGCGGCATCACGCTAAGGGGGCGAGGCCGATAACATTATAGACCTAGCCTCCCCCATTCAGAATTGTCTTTTAATTCCTAATTGTATGCAGAGCATTAAGGGAACCATATGAGAAGAAGTAATGGTGTGCCTCTAGAGTTGGTCTGTGACTGGGGAGCCTCATGCGCCCCGCAGTGTTACGCTATCAGATTAGTCTCTTTTTAAGCGGAATTTTTTCATGGCGACGATCTATCATTTTCGCTGGCCAAGCGTAGCTGAAATGTTGACCTTGTACTCCGTTCGGACGTTGGTCCATGGAGCCCGCAACCTAGTACAACAAGTTGAAAGGAAGGCCCGCTTGTGCTGCTCCTCTCACTTCCTAACAACAACGAATTCTCTATCAGTCTGAGTTGTATCATGTTCTTTAGAATGCGACAAATAGTAAAATTTGACTGAGTAGGACTAAATCAGGCAAGGTTGAGCTCTACTGGCGTCAAGTCGTTCGTCTAACGTAGGTGCAAAGCCAAAGGGTAAAACGAACCTTCCAGCAACTGGTATCCTTCGAAGGTGCTTTAAGCATGGCTGGAGTTCAACTTATTTCATGAAGTGAAACGAATGACCTGCAGTGGCGTCCCCCTCCTGCTATTCTCAAATTCGTGTGTAGATCCGGTAGTTACTTTATTGAATTAGTGGCAATTATGTGGACACCGAACAGCCAATTTTGGAGTGCAGAATTGGCAGTGGACGGTGCGGCTAACGCTTGGTCAAGTTGTCGAGGTGTCAAGGTGGGAAAACTGCCGGTACATTCTGATACGTCAGCAAGTGCCAGGAGTTTGAATCCACTTAGAAGCCCGTAACAGCGTACCTGCTAAACGAGCTGGCCCTGGAAATGGATGTCTCTTTAGCAGCACTCCATGACCTGGCCCTTATCATTGCAAGCTCGTCAATATTGCGCGGCAAGAAGATGTAGGCGTGGTGACTGTTGCGACGCCTTTGGCGAGAAACTGATTGGCTTGGCCCCTTAACCAGGTCCCGTTTTGCAGTACCAAGCATTTAGACCAAAATTATGAAGCTTAGAGAGAAGAAGATGCCCCCGTTGGCAGCAACCAGAGATGGCGAAGCTATTTCCCGATGCAGTTTTAGTGTGTCGGCATCCGTGATTCTCTCTTCTTTCCTCTCGAAGGCAAAGCATAATAATACTCCTAAGCCATCACGTGGACAATGTACGGTATTATGAATAAACTCCTCCACGAGGCTGATCGTCCGGAAAGTTTTTCTTTGATTAGTGCTGCCCAGTACTTTGCATCCTCTTCGACACATTTCAAGCCATGGTCAGACTCCCTCGAGGAAACGTACATTGATAGCAGAAACTCCATGTTTGGCACCATAATGTTCAGTTTTAACAGATATTTTCGAAGATAAACATCTTTGAGCTGTCGGGCAAATAGTCCACAAAATCTGCGCTCGCGCGGCGCATCTGCACGCGTTTGCGTGTTACTGTGGCTCCGAGGGTTTTCAGCACTAGGTTTTCCCTGTCAGCATTCAACATGAGCCTTCAAATGCTATTTACTAGTCAAAATAATTACAAATATAAAAAGCACATCACACAAAAATAAAAGAAATCCCGCGACTTTCGAAATCTATGGCCTGAATCTTTCTGCTGATGCACAGGGCAGCCTTTTACCGCAACAGTGCTTCTTGTGGGCGCTTCCCGATTTATGGCCTTAGTGAAACAATTACCGATAGCCTTGCTAGAATACGACTACAAGTGAATGAATGACAGGCAGCCGCCAACAACACGGTTTCACAAAATTTTGGGACGGCCCTGCTGTGGTGCTGTTTTTGGTCACGAGCTTGGCTGCTGTTGTCCATCCTTACTCATGAGCTACATTCTGCTTTGCATTTGGAGCCGTGTGTGAGAGAGTATAGCGCTTGCGTAAAAGAAAAACAAATCACAACCCTCATACGGATATGTTTCCTTGAAACCCGCCTACAGAGTTGCTCGTTTACTGCATCCGGTCAACAGTGAACCCATAGAAAAGCAAAAGTGGCGAGTCTTCAAGCTGGCTAAAAGAAAATGGGGTAACTGCCCCACAAGGGAAGCTGCACATTGGCTTATTTCTGCTCCTAGTCCGAAAAGTCAGCGTAGAACACTGGTGCATATTTCCATCTTCTAAGAGCAGAAATAATATTGCTTTCACCTAATTAGGAACCTGAGTCCCAAGACGCTGCATGGTCCATTTCAACACCAGAAATCCTTGGCTTGTCACCTGCACCCGCAGCATACTCAAAGCAGCATAATCTTTCAAAAGAACGTGTAACTCAGCGCGACACCACCGCGACTGCATGCTACACTTCTTGTTCACAGCGGTTATGCAGCTGACCTGTGCTGGGCGCTGCGTCGTGTCCAAACTTCCGGCCGATTAGGTCTTGCCACTGCGGCCACTGGCCTTTGCTAAGGCTGTTGGCGATGGCGAGCTGTTCTTTGAGTCCCGCAAAACCTTTCTTGAACCTAGGCAAGTTAACAGCATCAGCTTCTGCCTGTGGCTCAGACCCCTCTGCTCCCCTTGACGGTCCTTTTGCGGGATCGCTGTCTCCTTCAGGAGACCCTGGAAGGCGCTGGTAGAACAGAATGTAAGGCGATGCTGCAAGAACTCTTTGCAGGTCGACAGGCTCCACTACCTTGTCATCAGCGCGAAACCATGAGTCTGAGTCCATGTGCTTGATGTAACACACGTAGTGTCCCTGCTCCGTAGCGGGACCTTCGTGCTCCACCAATGCCACAAGCTTATATCCGTAACCTGAGGAGAGGGCAGGGGATGCAGATGATCCACCTGCACCTGAATGAGATCGGGGCTGCCTGTCTGCATCAGTTGGCCGGCATTCGTCCTCTCCCGCCGTCTGTGCTTGTCGAGTTTCAACTGGCTCTCCTGACCCAACAGCAACACTACACGGGGCCGGAGACGGAAACAGCCCTTCTCGCGATTCACTGCGTTCGATGAGTTCTGCCTCAAATGCATCCACTGCGGTGGAAGCCTTGGAGGACACGCCTGGGAAACCTTTCCCTTTTTCTGAGGCAAGCGTATATCTTGCTCCATCCACACCTTCAAAGCCAGGCGTGGGAACCGACATGGCCGTTGCTTGGGCAGACTCAGCCACCGCCGTTTGATCTGCGTTTGGAAAAGCTGCTGCTTCAGCAGTAGCAGCACCAGCATTTGAGCGTTCGACGTAGCTGGCCAGGTCAACGTACTCGCCGAACTGTACGGGATTCCATATCTATACACCCAATATCAGCACACGAAGAATACCATAGGTATGAGCAATTCGACGCTAGATACCAACTAACTAGCCTCACATTAGGCAACTAGTGGGGAAGACGCATGTGTGTTGTCACCTTACCTTGTAAGTCTGTCTACCGCGAACGAATCTTTTAAGTGTCAAGCATAGCACAAACGGCAAGTGGCCCTCGACTAAAGCGCAGCTTTTTACTGCGTCTTGCTTGGAATCACAGTGCTCGCAGAAGTACCTGAAGGCAAATAAATAGTAGGCCACTACTTTAAAAGCCAAAATTTTCAAAGGAGGCCACGAAAAACAATAACCGGAATCACAGCAAGAAAGCTTCGGCCAGAGCGCATACCCTTCTCCGGACGAGAGCTTCAGTGATTCGCAGTCGTCCGCGAAGTGTCTGTCGAGACATTCCACGAGACTGACTTTTGAGAGCAAGTGGAGAAAAGAAGAAGGCTTTAGTCTCAAACCTGTAAGCGGACAGAAACAGCCGCATGCCGACCGAATTCTATTTTTTATGGACTCACGTTCTGCCCTTGAATATGGACCTATTTGCACGTGCATCGATGCAAAAGAATGACGGGAACGCCAAATCAAGACGCGCAGGCCTTCCCTTGGCAAGCTCCACAGAACAAAAAATTACACATGATTCCACCCTGACCAAGTTTCAGCTTTGCACTACTCTATACTAAACCCTTGTCATGAAACCTCAAAGCGTCTGCTTCTTATACTTGGATTAAAAATGGGTGAGCACTCAATAGGCGCGTCATTGGCCTATGAATAAGGCAATGACGCGGGGTTTGTTCATCCTCGTGCTCGACCCCAACTTCAGCCTCACTTGCATGCTGACAAGACTCTTCTTGGGCCTCTCGCGTCATCGCCACTGCCAGACTCTTAAACGGCACTAAGGTGGACGTGCACCTGCCGCAATTCGTGCACCTAACTTTATCCACTTCTGCCCCTGCTCAGCATTCCAGGTTAAACACAAATTCGTGGCTTTCTTTCACCACGATGCAACTACAATAGCGGTACCCACTTTTTGCCGTGAGATAGTAGGAAATTCTACTATCCAACTGATAGAACAAGCGAAACCAACCAGCATACCCTCAAAAAAAACGGAGAAAAGAGTCGGCAGGTCTCCACAAGCCGGCGGCTCGTCGTCTTTTGCTGAGGTGCCGTTCCATCCTGCTCCGGACGTGCCGAGCTCATTGCTAGTATTCGTGTCTCCTTGCATCTTCGCCTCCTTAACATCATCCTTTAATTCTTTAAGTCCAGGATGGGGCGCAGGTAAGGGGCAGGCTGGCCCCTGTGACTGGCCAAACCCTTGAGAGAATGGGGGGCAGGTATCTAATCTTCGGGGCATCGCCTGCAGCATCAGCGCCTTCTGCAAAGGGACGCCTGTAGCGGCTGCACGCAGTTCACCGTCTAGGAAGTCCAGAAGGAGCCGCAGAAACTCATCGCTGTCTTGCATCTCACGAGGGTCTGCGGTTCATGCAAATCAACACTAATGAAAGACGAAATTACAACTGCCCTACTGAGGTGTCTGAGTTTCGGCACTCCAATCTTTGTAGTGCAGTGACAGCACACTGCGCAAGTCAAATCGGTTACTTGAAGCAAACGACGAAAGAAGAGTAGACTTATTGCCGTCGACAAAAATTGCCAGCATTAGCGGGGTGATATACAAGCAACCTTCGATAGAAAAACATGCACGCGCGCGTGCATGCAGAAAACTCACCAAAGTCGGGCATAATACGACAGCAAACCTGATACAGGGCTTCAGGCTTGATGAAGCGGACGCTGCTGGGGGACCTCCACATATGGCTGTACAGAGCATTTCCAGACTCACAAACCTAAATGAGCTTGACAAACTGCGCTCGTCTGGCTGATGTGGGGAGCCAACGGCCACGGCTGACACTAGCGGTACGCACTAGCGTGCAGACACCGTGGCAGCTGAAGCTCTCCATAGCGCAGTGCCCTGCACCTGGAAGCACCCCACTTTATCATCTAAGCGCTCAGATCAGGATAGGAAGGCACTAAAAACTCACTTGATTACCACTGCAAGCTCCCAAGTAACAGAAGTAGTGTACGTAGGCGTCTGGATGAGATGGTGAGGACCCCTCTTTAATCTCCTCACGTGCTGCCTCGAGGTTTCTGCAGCGATAACCGCGTCACACAATGCGAACAACTGTTAAAATTTCATCGTTTCCCCCCATACTCGACGCGAGTTAGAGCCCCCCTATTTGGCGACTCCAGCTGGACGCCACACTTGAGAGGAAAATTCTAGCGCTTCTAATCCTTGAACTCAGGATAGCTTCATGCCCTTGATGAGGTACTTCATTCGAGCAATGTATCTGCTTAACTTTGAACAACTACACAATGCATCCACAGTTCACTGCGGGCGTTCATACAAGTAATGTGCCCGCGCTTTTAGGCGTCCAAGCAGAGAGCGCGTGTGCTCACCGAGATAGCTTGTGTAGGCTTCGTACTGGCTTCCCAGAAGGTCCAAGGATGGAAGCATTGTCGCTGAATAAAATCGATATCACATGGTTATACATCTCCGTTCCAGACGTTGCACTTTCACACTTGTCTCTGTGCACAATCTGTACATACTGGTGCGACCACACCCTCTACGCTGAATTTTAGCATTTATTAGCCTCCAACAAGCAGCCTACGCCGCTGAAACAGCAGCAGCAGGAGCCACAACAACGGCAGAAAGGGCCACGAAAACATGCAGTCCAGCAGAAAAAGTCAGCCAGAAAGGAAAGCGCAACGGTAGCAGGAGAATGAAATGCAAACTCCAGCCTGAGTCTCAGATTTAGTGTTCTGGTTCAACGAGACTGAGGCGCATGTTCTTGTATATTTAGATTTTCTGAATTACCGTAGTTTAGGTAGAAGTCCCTCAGAGGCTGCACATGCGCCAGGTACTGCAGGACCACGTTTAGGAAACAGCTGCCTCCCCCAAGGTTGATTAAACCAATTGCCGGAGCCTGAAGCAGCAGCAACCACAACCACATCAACGGCAACTGGCGGCCTTAAACGAGAGCAGCCAGTCGAACTGCGCAAAACAAAGGCAAACGAGTAATATGCGTCTAATACAATTACAGAAATGAGCAAGCTGCACTTAGCAGCAGTGCTTCCCAATGCTGAATTTACAAATACATGTGTTCATTTGCGTGTATGCCATTAACGGCCCTACAGTTGCCAGTCTTGTCTGAGGTGGCATCACAGCGCCAAATCCCAGCACAGAGCACGCAGCCGTTCGCGCTACTGAAGGACTGCGGCTGCTGCCAAGTAGGCCACCAGACTTTGCCTCAGGGCGCGCAGCAGCTGTAGGCTTGGGCTCGAACAACTGGGCGCCCCGCTTGCCGCAAACCCGCCGACCCCCACGACGTCGGGAGGAAACTCCTTCCTTAGAACGCACGTAAGGGCCCCCTTTGGAGTACCGAATTCCAAGGGGAGCTGCGATTTGTGGTCCTACGCTGTCTTCGCCCACCGGCAGGTCTGTCGCCTCGGCTCCTGTCGTTTCTGCTATTGCTCCAGATGGTGCTGCTGCTGCTGCTTCTGTTGCTGCTACTGACGCGGACGCAGCGGTATTAGCAGGGTGAAGTTCTGTGGCCCCGCCTGCAATGCCTCTCTGCCAATCACCAGTCGGAGGCTGCAGGAGGTTTGTCGGGGCCCCACTGCTCAAAAGACCCGCAGCAGGCACACGAGACGGCTCCAAAGGGCCCGTCGGGTGAGCCATCTGATGGTTCAAATGCTGTAGAGGCGAACTTTTCGGAATGGTATTAGACCACAGTTTTGTCGCGGCGCTCTCCTGCGTCCACACAGCTGGTGCCGCTGCACGAGCATCAGCTGGAGGCTGGGAACGAGCCCCTAACCCTTCGTGGTTGCTGCTGTAGAAGTTGGGCCACGTCGTATTTGCCCGGCTTCCCACTGGAGGCATTGCGTTGACCCATCCTTGATCTGAGGGAAGCTGTTGCTGCTGCTGTTGCTGCTGAGCTGGTGCTGGTGAAGTGCTTTTCTCACAAACCAAGCCTGTGGGGTGCATGCTGGCGACAATGCCCGTTTGAGGAAGCTGCCGCTGCAGAAGCTGCTGCTGCTGCTGCTGCTGGAAAGGCAGCACAGCTGGGAAGTGGGCGACAGCAGCGGGAAACGATGCGGGGCTGGCTGAAGCGGACAGAACTGAGATGGGGCTTCCCAGGGGAGGCCCCTGGCAAGCTTCGAGCAGATGCCTCCATCGTTGCTGTTGCTGCTGCTGCTGCTGCAAACTACGCAACAGCTGCTGCTGCAGTTGCTCACTCTGATGCAGCTGCTGCAGCAGCGACTGCTGCTCACGCTGCGGTTGCTGGATCAGGGTCTCGCGAGAATGGCTTGGCTCAGCCTCCTGAGAAGCCACACTGCTTTGCTGAGGCCTTTGTGTGGCCTCAGGGATCCCTTCAGCCAGAGACACAGTAGCTGGTGATGGACATGCTGCAGCGGAAGCAGCTACAGCTGCAGCAGAAGACAAATTATGGGGAGCCAGGGGGTTCCAAGGATTCGCCGGAAACGAGTCCTGGGCTCTGACAAGTGGGGGGGGGTTGCATGCTGCTTCGAATTCCGGTGGAGCCTTCACTGGCAGCAGCGGCGCCATTGTGTTGTTGCTGCTGACGCTGCTGCTACTGCTGCTGCTGCTACTACCACTGCTGCTGCTTCCACAGGTTTCTGGAGTCGCAAACGCCTGGGTGGGGGCCCCCTGTGGCAGCTCCCGATGGGCCTCCGATGGGCCCCAAAGAGGGCTCGCCTGAGGACCAGAGGCGTCGTGGCATCCTGCTCCAGGAAGTAACAGCAGAAGCGGCTGCTGCTGTTGTGGCTGCTGCTGCTGCTGTTGCTGCTGCTGCCCTTGCAGCGACAGGGAGAAGGCACCTTGTGTCACAAGAGAAGGCACGGGGAGAGGGGCTGGGACTGCAGCGAGCATGGGCTCCCTCAAGGCCTCCCCTGTCGCAGCGAGACGCTGCTGCTGTTGTTGCAGCAGCAGCAGCAGCTGCTGCTGTTGCGGTTGCTGCTGCGGCGTGGGGCAGAGGGAAGGCCGCAGCGGCTGCGGAAACGCTGTCAGCGCTTCATGAGGCACCTCATGAGAAAGCCCCTTGCAGTCTGTAGGCTGTTGCATGGGGCCTTTGTGTGAGAAGTCCCCTAGCAGCAGTCTGTCTCGCTGCTGCCTAGGAGGCTCGAGTGGCTTGGGCTGGTAGGGCTACGCAGCGGGGGTCCCATGGACAGCAAGGATAAAATGGCTGAACAACCTATGCGATCTGAAGCTGTGGTTGGTTGTAGATAAGATGGACCTAAAAATATGCTTGGAGAGAACACCACTTGGTTATTCTTGACGCTGCTGCTGCTGTGACGGGGACGCGCCGCTGCTGTTGTTCTCGTTGCCGTTGAAGTCCCCGCGGACTGAGGCAAGATGGGTGAAGACCCCAAATCTGCCTCACTGGGAGAGCTTTTGCTGCTTGACTTTCGTGATTGGTGCGGCAGCTGAGGGCCCAATCTGTTCTGCCAGCTAACTGCGGGTGTTTGGAGATCTGTCAAGACATTGCATTTGGACCCGTCCTCTTTGATCCGTCACTGGCTTCCACAGTAGCAAGTCCGCGGGGCCTTAGCCAGTAGTTTAAGTGGTGGCTGTCCTGATGCGGAGCATAGAAAGAGACAAGCAACCGTTGTGATGGCTGCGAGGGCAAGCCGGCAACGCCACGGCGGCGAATGGGAGAACGTGGCTTGGCAGACACTTCCAGAGGCGTCAGAGCGACAGTTGGAGCTCATGCATGCAGAGTATGGCAAAGATAACGAATAAGAAACAAAGGTAGCTTTGGGGCTTCTCAGAAGCCCCCACAGTCGGCGGCTCTACTGATCGCTAAACTTTTGCTGAGCCGTGGGTGCCAAATGAAAAGCCATTTGACGTTTCCTTGATATTTAAATGTGATGTACAGTGGAGCTGCATCGAGTTTAATATGAGCACACTTGAATGAAACAAGCGTATATGTGGAGGGGGTTCCCATTGATGCGTTTACTGTTAGCTGTTCGTGGCGGCCAACGGCCCGCTGTCTAGGCACCTCAAAGTACTCAAAATGACAAACTGTACTTTGAGACGCTTAGGCCTCTTTATTTTAAAAGGCTCTCATATGCACACCTGCCTTTTTATATATGAGTAAAGTACTTAAGCAACTGAGCTGCAGTCTCACTCGTTTTTGAACGACTACGGTGCGCTCTGGGCTGCCGGTGAGTTCGTGGCTCTCCTGTTACACTTAGTCCTCCAGTCGGTCTCCAGACTCCAGAGCACCTCCTTTATTAAAATTTTAACTATAAATATCAATATAGGGAGCAGCCAAAAGCATGAGCTCACGAATGCCCAACCGGTGATGGCGGTTCTGTCTCTAGGAGTCAGCTTTGGACTAAGCAATTCATACTATATCTTGACTGGGCACAGAACAGCTTAAACTGAAAACTACAAACGAATGAAGTACCTCCAACGTCATGGTTCCACGCCTGAGTTGGCGCAGCTTTACGTGATACGGGGGAAAGAGTGGTGGCCCAGAAGAGTAGCAACGCGACTCAGAGTTTAAGGAGCTAGATCTGCGCACACGCAGTATACGCTTTTGTGTAAAGTTTCTTCATGTAGTGCGATATGCACTACCATACACACAACGGAATCTTGTTCACCGCTTGCGCTTGCTGCTTTCAGCTGTGTCCTGGTGACGCTTCACTTCCTTGAAGCCGTACATAGGTTGAACACACATAGAGGCCGGAAAAGAGAGAATAAGTTTGCCAAGGGGGATTACAGGAGAGGGCGGAAATAAAGAGCCCGCTTGTATTTCTCTCTCATTTAGATTTCCTGCGGTCCTCAACTTAGAAGTTTGCAGTAATGTAGAAAGAGATTACACCGCACAAATATGCGTGCGATTTGCAAAAGAGAACGCAGGAAATCCCTTGCCGCGCCATCCAGCACCATGACAGACTGTGTCTCATTGTGCGCCTCCACACCGCTCTCAGATTGTCTTGTTGCCGTTGATGTCCCCTTCTGTAAGGTCTTCTTCATCCATATATCAGGAACTCATTACTGGTGAAGAACTTCAGGCACAATTTATTATACAGGCAGTCAAAGGGAAGTTTCTGGGCTTTTATTCACTAGGTACAGGTCTATCCAACGCAGTATACGCGTTTCAACTCTTCAGGATCTTCAAAAGTTCGAAGATCGGCCAGCAGGCCATGTAAAAGAATAAATAAACAAAGCTGATGGATTCACCACCTGCTGCTCCAGGAGGTGACAGCCGTGTTGCTTGCGCCCCAGCTTTGTCTATTTCAAATTTGTGGCTAAAATCAATGCGCAAGGCTGCGCAAAAGCTGCTTTCTGTACTCCATAAAGTCTCCATTAAAACGAATGAGCCGTTTTGACTCCTTATCCATCGTGTATATCTCGTCGGCCACACAAGAAAGAAGGTGACTGTCGTGGCTGACAACAACAACGCCACCGGCGTACTCATTTAGTGCCACAATCAACGCCTAAAATCACGCAACAAGTACAAAAAAGAGCGAATTCGCGCAGGTAGACAAGGCAGCAGGTTAAGTGCTAGCTCAGCTAGCAATGCATGACTCTGCATTGGCTGGAACCCCAAAGCCTTCTTCCTATTCATTTGATACTTTGTCACCTATTCGCTACACCTACTGCAGAAGCATGCACCATAATTAAGGCTTCAGGTCTAAGGGCTGACCTGCACAGCATCTAAATCCAAGTGGTTCGTCGGTTCGTCTAGGAGCTGTAGGCAAGAGAAAAAGGACAAGAGACAAGCCATAAAGCCATATGTATTTGACGTACAGGCATGTCAGGAGTATCGCAAGACACGGAAAATGCTCCTGTGCGTTGTGCCTGTAGAAGAGTACGTGTCCGCATGTGCTGCTAGGTACACTGGAACTCGGCATAAGGGTGAAATCAAAAGAAACGTGCACAGGCGCAAGTGCCAGTAATAAATAAATTACATCGCAACAAGCCGGTACGTTGACTTAGGCATAAATATAGCTGCCCACAAAACTCAATATTTTGCATAATGCAGAAGCCTATGGTGTGCATGTGTACTTCAAAGCATGCATCCGTTCAACTATGCGTTGATCTGCAGATGCAGACAACCATGCAAACATGAACATAAAGACAAATAGCTAGAAACGTCCACGCAAGCATAAACACAAGAAGAGACAACTAAACACACAAGACCCGAATTCAACACGAGGTAGTCAGGCGTGTTACAAGGGTGTGGAGCGACGGCCCGAATTTGTGTGTTCACTTACAAGGATGTGTGGATTGTTGTAAGCCATCAACGCGATCGCAACTCTGCTTTTCTGGCCTCCAGAAAGAATATAAAGTGGCTCGAGAGCCAACATGTTACTGATGCCAAACTGGCCCAGGTACGTTCGCGCTTGTTCATCAGATAGGTCCGCCTCGGGGTATCTGAAAAAGCCATGACCACCACCTCGACGACAACGAATTAGACTAGACAGAAAAAAACTGATAAGTTGCGGCGAATAGACCATAAAACACACATGGTGAACGTCTTATCTCCCTTGTATACCTGTGGGCCTCACGATTCTGGTTTTAGGATTTCAGGCGTTGTCAGCTCAAAATGCCTCACTTAAGTTGCAAGCTCTGCACAGCGTTCAGCGTCAAATCCAGCTGGTCAACGTGCTGCTGTGTAAAGTATCCAATGCGCAGCTTGCCGCTACGGTTGATTTGGCCTTCGCAGCATTCGTTCTGTCCCACTAATAGTTTCAGCAGCGTACTTTTTCCGCTGCCGTTAAGCCCACAAATCTGTGCGAGCATACCACAGCTGGACAAAACAAACTACAGTGGAGCCCCACAAGGACTAAATGCACTTCTCGATCTGGAAACGCTGAGCTTACAGTGACAATGCAAGGTTGAGGCGTGAGCCTGATTCAAATTATGACAGTTCATTCAGCTTAAGACGATGTGGGGCATGGAAAAACTATCTGGCTTGATCTGTGTCACAACAGTACCCATGCAGATGAAAACAAATGAACCCACTCATGGAAACAAATACACAGACGCAATGACACTGAACCGAGCCAGAAGCAGAAGCATTATCGCTGAGCCAAGCTGCAAGTACATGTACGGAAATACATGCACCATAAAAGGGACTCCTCTCGATGTAAGGCGAGGGAACGATCGTGCGGAAGATGCTTTGTTTTGAGCTTACTGCAATGCGTGAGTCCATGTCTACATTGAGCTGACAATCTCTCACAATGAGCAATTCATCAGAACCATCCGAGGTGTCGCCATTAGGCTTTGTACTTTCACTTTCTTCGCCGAAGTTTGTGGGCGACTTTTTCGTTCTCTTTTTGTACTTAAAAGTGACATCGACCAGTTGGAGCAAGGGAGGCGAAAGAGGCTCCGGTTCCTTCAACTTGAAACGCAGAGAAGGATCTTCAGCTACTTGCTCTAGCATGGGCAGTCGTTTCAGGGCTTTGATGCGAGACTGCACAAGGCAAGCGCTGAGTATTCCAAACGCACGTCAAATACACTACATACATGGTGTGAACGCAAAAAGTTGTGCGCTGAGCGAGCAGCACAGATAGGGATGGGCACTGCAGGGCAGGGAACGGCAAGGAAATGGCAGAGGAAAATGAAAGCAGGGCCGGCGGAAAATAATACTTAGCAGATGCATCACAAATGCACTGCACGGCGCTGCAAAGAAGTGCCAAGCGCCTTTCAAAAAGAAAAGAAAGCCCTACCGTTTCGCATTGTGTCTGAATCTGTCAATAAAGGACTTGATGTGCTTCTGCTTCATTTCAATAGATTGTATTTGTCGTTGCTGCTGTAACTGCTGCGCTGCGCGCACGCTTTCAAATGTGTCGAAGTCCCCCTTGTAGTAATTCAGCTTTTGGTTTGTGAAATGAATCATATCAGTGCAAACCTGACGACGCGCACGGAAAAACGCTTGAAGACATATGGGTACGCTAATATCGGCCAACACGCGCCCAAATCGTGCATGATGTCCTCGCATGCAAATGCTTTGCCTGCATTAATGTGTCTTACGTGCCCATAGACAATACAAGCCAAACACGTCCAGTTTAGAGTTGAAACGGGACGCAGCATAGATCACTTAGGCAAAAAAAGCCAGGCTAGCGTAAATGTGGATAAATACAAGTTAAGCCCATGCAAACACAATGTCGCACGCATACAATACTGCACATTTAGCGAATGCATCCCCTAGACACGCCTTCCCAGATCAAAAAAGTCTACCGCAGATATATCCGTGTGGAGTTGCGCACATCGTTGAGGAAATCCCTCGAATGGCTAACAACAATAACGATCTTGTCCCTCGACAGCCGCAACGCGTTTTCGCCACCAAGGACTTTCGAGTCGCCCACAAGATACGCCGTGAGCCAGTTGATGGCTTTCAAGTCCAAGTGATTAGTTGGCTCGTCCAACAGCAACACATCGGCATCCGCAAACAAAGCGCGACCCAAGCACACCCGCATGCGCCAGCCGCCACTCAGAGCTGAGACCTTCGTGTGCTGCATAAAACAGCCAACATACATGTGTAACAGGAGCTTAACGTTTAATGAGTGGTTTCGGCTGATATCTTTACATAAATCTCTAATCGATCGTTTAATGCACAAACGCCTCTGAGAACTAATTGGAAATATTTGCGTGCTTCGTTTAGTTAAAGTAGTGCGGCTAAACAGACTAGACTGGAGACCCGCAGAAATGACCCGAAAAGTCCTGCCACAGTAGAATTTGCGGTGGCGACTAATGCGTCAACCGCAGTGTGTAATAGTGTAGAGGCTTATCGTCCGAAGTTTAGTGCGGTATCGGCGACAATGTAAAGAGTAAAGAAGCTTAGAGCCGGCTAGTGAAACGTGATCCTTTTCAACTATAGTAAAGTCCTGCCTGCATCTCTGTGTCAAAGCCAAGACCGCTGAGAATCATGGCTGCTGTTGCCTCGGCCTCGTTGGCCCCAATTTCCTGCAGACGGTCGAAGATTGCCGCGAGGCGAAACCCAGCAGCTGCACCCTGTAGCAAAAGCCGCCACAACGCAACGCACTACTCGTAGGCAACTATGAGTACAAATGATATCTTCGTTATCTGCGCATGTAAACATGAGCTACTCTTCTCCGTTACACGCCACTCATAAAGAGGAGGTGAGGCTAAGAAACAGGTGAAGCGAACGCACAGATTGACCCTGTTGTTGCAGGAGCTCCTCCTCCTCCAACAATTTCTTACGCTCCTCGTCAACTGCCAAGACTGCCTCGAGGACCGTCTCATCGCCAAAGCGATACTCTAAAATGCGCAAAGCGCACACAGGCTCACTCAACTTCAAGAAATAAATTGAATAGTCTTGAGGCCTATAGGGACATAATATATTCTTCCATCCCTTTGAAGGCTAGTGAAGACTAGTGTGCCTATTTGAATTTCAAGCGACGAGCACAAAACACATATGGTGGGGGCGCTGGATACTACAAGTGTCGAATATTTACAGATATGCTACGCTAGGCGAGATTAGGCAGAACACACAGGAAATAAAGGTGACGGCAAACACACCTTGTTCCACGCAGGTTATTGTTGTATCCGGGTCCACACCAAGGATATCGTGACGCGCAAGCGCGTGGAGGAATGTGCTTTTCCCAATACCGTTGCTGCAGCACAACTCGATGGGTACACAGGGTGATTAAACAAAGTTACGGGGACCAAGAGTCGCAGGAGGGAGACAGAGCATGCGGTCTCCGATATTGCAATTCCAATTTGAAGTCCAATGGATAAAGCAAGTTTAGTGTAGCAGTGCCACCTCCAAGAATAAAAGAAATGGCGCAGCAACAAAGTGCCCAGTCAAATGCTATGACGGGGACAAGGTAACAAGGGCCAAAGTGCTCAGAAGTCTCACCGGCCAATGAGGCCATACCGCCTCCCTTTCATCAATTTCAAGGACGTGTCAACAAGCAGTTGCCTGCCCGCCACCGCAATTGAAAATGAATCGACCAAAATCCCTTCAGCTGCACAGAGATCATAAGAACATGCGCTCTTAACATACGGCCAATGCCAACTCAGGCGCTCTCGCCTTCGACGGCACCGCAAGACCTGAGGGAAATGCAGAACCGCTAACTTTCACGCATTCTACTCAGCTATCGGGACACACCACTACACTGAAGAACACAACTCTCCCCTCATTTTTTGGTACAAATTTAGCGTAAAGATAAGCGAAGGAAACGGCATAAATTTGACACAACGGCAAAACTACCTGAACAGATAAGGGATGCAGCTCACCGCTGCGTTTAAGTTGAACATCGCCGTGACGCTTCTTAGGGGGCGGAAGTGGGGGTTTGTTCTTCTCCCACTCTAGCAGCAGTCGCATCTGTTTCTCTCGCTGCAGCGCCATCGCAGGCACAAGGCTAAAAATCAATCACGGCAGCAGATGCATGTGAAGTGTCAGGTTTTGGAGTGCAGCAGATGGTTCACGGGCCGCAAGAGAGCCAGAGTTTAGCATGGAACACAAACGGATGCACAAGAATACCTGTTGTTGCTTGCGCTGTTGCATCAGCTGCTGCTGTTTAGCTGCTTCAGCTGCAGCAGAGTCCCCGTCAAAGACCGGCGCGTTGTAATTCACCATCGCTGCGTCTTGCTGAATCCCGAGAAACGGATCGCTAAAATCGCCTTCGGCAGATATCACATACAGAATTGCTCATGCGAGGACGAATTCAATGTGCCATGCAGTCAATTGAAGTGGAACAAGCGGCTCACAAACTGGAGGAAAAGAAAAGAACCAACCAACTGCGGGAAGAAGGCGAAAGAAGAAGAGATAGACGCATGACACGCGTCAAAGGAGAAAAATAGGCGAACAAATTCAAAAGCTGGCGGCTTCCAAAAAAGGAAAATATTCACAGGTAAGAAGTTAGTGCAAAGTGCTTCACTCAATGTGCTCCCGCTCGACAGGTGATCAGGGCTCGCAGATGCAAACAAGAGAAGATAAATAACAGCACAAACACACAAATACAAATGTAGCCGAACTCAAATGCAAGGCAAAACTCGGCGCCGTACCCTCCGTTCTCTTCTGCATCAAGTCTTGCAGGCGGACCGGCGCCCGTTGTTCTGCAAAGTCCCAAACGGCAGCCCAGGCGCTGCAACATTTGAAAGGGCAGTTTAATTGGCCAGTTTAAGTTTAATTGGCAGGCCTAGCTGAGTAAACCAATTCTGCGGGCGTTTGACTGCGAGTCTGGTGTTGGCGCCCAACTTCGTGCAGATTAAGTGAGCTGCTCACCGGGCTGCTCCCGGACGTCTTCAGCGGGTTCTGTGGCTTTACATAATGTCTTCAGCTTCTGCACAAGTTCTTCGCAAATGACCTGCGAAGTTTCACAACCCAACACTCCAGATTTCCATCAGTGCCACCAGTTTCTGCTGCTCGCGCTGCCTCCCATGTTGTTCATGCCTTCCCTGCTGCTGCTATTTCTCCACTGTCGCTGCTGTCGTTTGCTCTAACACTTTGCTGCTGCTGCTGCTGCTGCTGCGGCTGCTGCTGCTGCTGGAAACTTGGCTGGCGCGAGTCTTTGCCAGTCCATCTGTGCACTCCTCTGCAGTGATCTTTTGCTGGCGCAGCTCAGTAACAAACAGCTAAACGGGTCTTAATAAGCTCTGCAGCTACAAGACTGAAAGCCAAGAGCAGCAAAAACTTGAATGGGACTTTACCAGCGCCTCGGGCTCTTCGTTCGCCAGCCCCACGTCCACCAGAAAGGGGCCGATCAGCTCGTTCGCCTCCTCCGCTGTCTTCGGCAACTCCGCCTGCAGCATGCCTGCAGAGTCGAAGACAGAATCGGAGAAGACACTGACAAGGAGCAGCTGCAGTGCTGCAGCAGCCCGCAGTGCAGCAGCAGCGCGCAGTGCAGCAGCAGCGCGCAGTGCAGCAGCAGCCCGCAGTGCAGCAGCAGCCCGCAGTGCAGCAGCAGCGCGCAGTGCAGCAGCAGCGCGCAGCGCAGCAGCAGCCCGCAGTGCAGCAGCAGCCCGCAGTGCAGCAGCAGCGCGCAGTGCAGCAGCAGCAGCAGCAGCAGCGCAGCAAATTACCAACGAGGTACTCCGCCGTCGTTGGCTCCAGCTTTCCCTGTGTCACTTCTTGCAGAATTTCACTGACAGCTTCCTCTGTAGGCCCCGCCATCCTCTGGACTTGTTGCTGCAGTCTTCAGCGAGTTCCCAGCTGCGGCCGCTCTCCCGCTAGGGTTTAGGGTTTAGGACTCAGCGTTTGGGGTTTGGGGTTTAGGGTTTAGGACTCAGCGTTTGGGGTTTGGGGTTTAGGGTTTAGCGCTTGCTGCCGGCGAGGCGCATCCCTCGCGCGCCCGGCTGCTCCGCTGGCCCGGCCTGCGCAGGGTTTAGGGTTTAGGGTTTAGGGTTTAGGGTTTAGGGTTTTCTCTGCAGAGTCGACTGGCCCCGCCCGCCTCCGGGTCTGAAGGCTGTCACAACGCAGCCACTAGGCTTGCTGCGATCCGCTCTAAGAAAAAAACTTCGGCGAAGTTTGTTTTTCCTTTTTCAAACATTAAAGAAAAAACTATTATTTCATTTCCCCAGAAGTCAGGCCAAGGGAGGCTGCGGCCTTCGGCGTTCGGGGCTGCAGCCCCACTCCGAGCCTGGCTGCAGCAAGCAGCAGCAGCTGCTTTAAAGTTAATTAAATTAAAACTTCTTTCAGCGCTGCATGCATTTGCTGCTGCTGCTGCTGCAGCAGCAGGACACACAAGGACTCTGCTGCACTATCTCTGCCTCTCTGCTGCTGAGAGCTTTCTGGAGCCACGTTGCATGCCTTTCTTGGCCTTGAAAAGGAGCCCAGTGCTTATTGAACTCTGGCAAATTCGTGAAAAATCGCCAAAACTTCTCTGTGCTGCAGTCCCAACTGTTGGCTGCTGCGCAGCCACTCTGTTCACATTATTCTCTAATTCTTTGCAGCAAAAGAAGCAATTCGTACTCAAGCTGCCACATCAAGACTCTGAACTTCTTTTTCCGCTTTCCAACTCCGCCCCTGACATGCAGGCCGGTGTCCATGGCCATCGCGCGGGCTCTGCAGCTCCGCCGGACGTGAGACAAGGCAGTGGGGAGGCAGCTGCTGGCAGTTTCAAAAATAATAAAATAAATGTGGATTGCTGTTCTTGTGACTTGGAAATATCCCCGTGACTCTGCGGCGAATCAGCTGCTGCAGCGGCGCCTCTTGTGCCTGCACACAGACGACTGGAGTGGCTCGCGCGGCGGCTGGCCCTCAGCGGCTGTTTGTCCCGGCATGAGGCTTTGGAGGCAATAAAACGAGGAAATGTGCAGGTCTGCTTTTTGCTGAGGTCTGGTTTTTGTGCAAAAAAGTGCAACTCGTCTTCTGCGCTCGAGTGCATTCAGGTGTATGGACAGCTGAGCCTGGAGCTGAATGCACCGTCGCCACTGCCGTTGTCTTTTATTTACTTCTTCTAAATTGATCAAGAGTTAATTGACACGCGTTTAGAGGAAATTGAACCTTGAAGTTGGGATTTCGGGATGTTCCGTTGTTTGCAGGTGGACGGGCAGACGGTGACTCGCGATGTGCAGATCTGTGACGAGGCTGAAATATCCTATTTGGGTGCGCCAACGTCTCTTTGTGTTAGCAAGTTTGTTCCCAACTTAGCTGCTTCCTTTTTCCATTGCTGCTGCTGCTAAGTGCTGCTGCTGCGCTGCAGGGAGGACCCTTCCCGCTGCTGCTGCGAGGCCTGCGCTCTTCGGCATGATCAAGCCGCCGCGAGTGGCGTGTACGTACACCACAAATGGACCAGGGCCTACTCTGAAGACGCTGCTGGCGCAGTGTCCATCAGTTCCTGAGTTTCCTCTGCGGGAAATAAAAAAGTACGAAAGCGAATTAATGCAGCAGAGACTGAGAGAAAGGGAAAGACTGAAGAAGGGGAACTGGACCGAGAGAAGAGAAGCCCGCGGCAGGCAAGAGAGCGGGACTTCAAATTTTTTGGAAGAATCGGATCTGAGGAGTCTTGAGGAAGAGGCTGATGATGGCAGCAGCAGCAAGAAAGGCAGCAGCAGCAGCAACAGCAGCAGCCCGTTGCACATCCCCGGCCACCTCATACCGGTGGTGAGTTTTGAACTTTATTTCTTTTGCTTTCGAACGCAGAAAGTTTCTGCGAGTTGCTTTCGCCGCCGCGCACTGCAGCCGCGCGGTGTACGTACACCTGAACGCAGTGCCACTCTGCAAAGTGGGACCTGCCTTTCCATCAGAATCATTTGCCACTTCAAGCTGAGGGTCTTGTGCTCCTGACCAACGACGGCGAGTTCGCGCATGCGCTGCGGAGTCCGGCCAACAAGATAGTGACTGTGGGGCGCAGCAGCTGCAGAGTTGCTTGGCAGCACTTAGGAGTTTTTTTGTTTTGTTTCGCGGAGTTGTTCTTTTCTTTTTGATTCCCTCAGTTGTTCTTTCCTTTTTATTCCCTCAGTTGTTCTTTTCTTTTTGCTTCCCCCATTTGTTTCTTTTCTTTTTCTTCCCTTAGTTGTTCTTTTCTTTTTATTTCCTCAGTTGTTCTTTTCTTTTTCTTCCCTCAGTTATTTTTTTCTTTTTCTTCCCTCAGTTGTTTCTTTTCTTTTTATTCCCTCAGTTATTTCTTTTCTTTTTCTTCCCTCAGTTATTTCTTTTCTTTTTCTTCCCTCAGTTATTTCTTTTCTTTTTCTTCCCTCAGTTATATTTTTCTTTTTATTCCCTCAGTTGTTTTTTTCTATTTATTCCCTCAGTTGTTTTTTTCAAGTGCTGGCTCTGCACAGGCCTACGACTTCAGAGTCAGCGGGCCCCTCCCCACTGCGGGCCTGTGGCGCCAGTGGGCTTTGGGGGTGCGGAAAGAAGGAGTGAATTATGGCAGAGTTTGGGTGAGCAGTTCTGCTGCTAGTGGAGTTTGGGGTGTCTGTACACCGCGGCGCTGTGCGCAGGGCCCCGCGCCTGCGCGGGCCTTCAGATTTCACTTTCAGATTTCATTTTCAGATTTCATTTTCAGATTTCATTTCCAGATTTCATTTTCAGTTTTCATTTTGCACTCTCCAACTCCGAATTGTTTTTCCTCAGGTGCAGCTTCTGCGGCCCTGCCCCTCCGGCGCGTGGCTGCGGGTGAGCTGCAGGGTTTGGAGGGAAGGACTTGGGGGTTTTATTTGGTTTGGATTCTTGGATTAGTTTCTTTTTCGAAAACTTAGTGAAAAATTGCTGTTTTGAATGCGAGTGTGAACAGCTCAAGCTGGTGGAGCCTCCAGGCGCGGACTTCCGGGCGCTGCTGGGCAGCTGCGGGCTGAGAGTGAGCAGCAGCAGAGTGCTGAGTTGTCTCGCAAGTGGCTGGCTGAGGGTTTGGGGTTTTCGAGGGTTTAGTGAGGGTTTGGGGTTTTCGAGGGTTTAGTGAGGGTTTGGGGTTTTGTTTCCGCAGATCCGGCGGACTCGGCTGCACTCCTTCGGGCCCTACTTGAGCTCCGCAGTGCCCCCCGAAACCCTCCTTCCGCTGTCTGTACACCCCGCGCTCCAGCACTTAGTGCCTCGCCAGAGGCCCCGCCTCTTGCTGGTTCCTGCAGAGGGGGAGGCCCAGCAGGCCATAGAGGCCACGCAGCACTTGAAGAGCCTCAAGGGCGGGGGCTTTCCGCTGGCGCGGCTGCTGAAGGAGAGTTCAGTCCTCGTCACAGCCGGCCGCTCACGGCTGCAGTGAGCGGGGCGGCAGCTCCGTGCATGCACTGCGCATGCACGGCGCATGCAACTCAGTGCATGCACCGGCGCTGCATGCACGGTGCATGCAACTCAGTGCATGCACTGGCGCTGCATGCACCGCGCATGCACGGTGCATGCAACTCAGTGCATGCACCGGCGCTGCATGCACTGTGCATGCACGGTGCATGCAACTCAGTGCACGCACCGGCGCATGCACGGAGTTTGGTGCAGCATAGTTCGCCTTGCCCTGCAGCTCGCACTTCTCTTTACTTTTTGGCTGCTTCTGGCATTTGGGAATGTTAAAACCCGGACTCTGTGCAAAACCCTCGTAATCTTTTTTTTGCATGCAGTGGAGCTTCGCACTTGTTGCGAAATCGCAACCGTCGACTTCAATTTGTTGTTCGTTTTTGGTGTATGGGCGACGAATTCAGCCACAGTTTGTTCGTCGCGGAAAAATCTAGAACAAATAAAATATATTCAGATGGCCATAGCCTCTACTCAAATGCCAGTAGAAGCAGCAAGAAGTGGCCCAGGACATAGTTACGAAATCCGTAGGCGACAAGAGCAGCACTGCAGGACTCTGCTTACTCTGCAGCTTACAACTATTCATTTGCAAATTGCAAATACTGAACTGAGCTTGAAAGAACCGCAGACACTGGCACTTGCGATGGGTAAGGTTTTCCTCTGTGCCATTTGAGGCGTCAGACGATATACAAACAACGCGGTGTCTCAAAGGGTCGAAAATTGAATTTGTCGCCCATATGGCGCATGCATGCCAGACGCGGACAAGGGGGCCAGTGATTGCAAGGCGGTAAAAGTTTGTTGTCCGTAATTGCTTTTAATTGATGCTCTACTTCTCTTTTTGTGAAGGCAGTGAAAGTGCACCAGCCTTAGTCCGTAGACTTTCGTGCGTCTGCGCAGCACCGGAGTGTTTGGTTGTGTTCGGTACATCTCGTGAAAAGCCAGCCAATCAGCGCACGGCTTGCGCTGAGGAATGTCTTTAGAGAATAGAGTTGTTAGACTGGTTTCTGTTGTTCTGTGCATGCACTAGCGCCTTTTGCATTTTTCCTTTCCCCACTATGAACAGATGCCGGGCTTAAAACCTTGAGCAGTTTTCGCGATCGTTTACTACTACTAGTGGGAGGGTATATCTATCCGTATTTACAAAGAAATGAAATATTTCTTAGCTGACAAAGAAGTACTCAGGTTACCTACTGTTCTAAACGCCACACTCCCATCCGCCGTAGTCTAGGTGGTTAGGATACGCGGCTCTCACCCGCGCGACCCGGGTTCAAGTCCCGGCGGCGGAACTTCTGGATTCCCTTCTACCTTGTCAATTTATTAATTAATTGTCCTTTTAAGTTCATTTCAGGTCAGCATTTATCTTTTTTCTCCTTTTGTGACACCGAACCCCAAACAGCGAAGAAAGGTCTACAGAGCGAAAAGCCAAACCGTTATCTGCACTTTTTGTTCAAGTGCTGCACTTTTTGTTCAAGTGAGTCGAACTAACGGGAAGGCTGTTCTTCCATAATTGATTTAAATTCTTTTTTGACGTATGCTGCACGTCCCAAGGCGGCGGAAATGCACATAAGCAGGACTAGCAGCATTTGTCTGTTGGAGCCACAGCTCCACCACACAGGCACAGCTGCAGCACTCTTTGAGCCCAGCCGATGCAGCAGCAGCAGCAGAGTCATCAAGGCAGCAATCTGCATGGCATATGAAGTCTGCGGGTCCTTAAAACTGGCTACCAGCGCCACCGTGCAGAACCACAAATACAGCAGACCCACCGCCAGCCTGCAGCACAGCACTCGTCATGATTCTTTCTTTTTGCACCTCCAGCTAATGCTTGTCCATTCAATTGAATTAAAGAGAAAATGCGCCGCCTTTTCATATTCCAAACGCAGCAACTAACAGCATCGCCGACAGCCGCACTCACCGCCAGTCCGTCACTGTCACCCCTCCGCCGGAAAGCGGCCCCACTCTGGCAATGCCAAATCCCCAGAAAGTTGCACTGGCCGCCTGAGCTAAGCAGAGGCAGCAAAACTGAGCATGGGGGGCCAAAAGTAACTCTAAAGAGGTCGGAGGCGCTGTGGCCAGCAAGAGCGCGAAGATTCCATGGAGAGCGCACATGGACCGGGTGACGAGTTTCAAAGACCTGCAAATGCACCAAGAGCTTCGAGAAATAATATGAAGTAAAAAGGTAATTGTAGACGAAAAAAAACACAAAAGTGCCACTGATTAGTTATTCTTGTATCGGGAGGCCACCCACCTGGGCTCTGACTGGCGACGCGGGCCAATGCCCAGTTCCACCATGTACAGGATCTGGCGGCAGTAGCCATCATAGGCCTCAAGAGATAAGAACTTTGTTTCTTCTTTGGGGGCGGAGTTTCCCAAACTTCTCCCGCAGTTTTGTCTCTGTTTCAGGAGATCGGCGAGACAAAAGGTTGCCTCTTCATCTTTCTTCAGAGAACCCGCAAGAGAACTTGAATGAATGCGCCGCGAGCAGCCACATTCATGAATAGAACTGAGAGGCAGACAGGCGTGGCTGTCTTTAGAAGAGAAAGCGGAGTCAAGGGGGCCCCGTCTTGCACTTGAAGTGTGAAAGCTACGAGAAACTGAAACTGAGTTGCACTTGCCACTGCGGCTGATCAAGCTGGCAGTGGGACTCAAACTAGAGCTCCAAAAAAGGGAAAAAAATGGCCAAGTCCGCGTCACAGATGTCTTGGTTGAAATAGAAGATGCTAGCCGCCAGCAGCAGCGCGCCTGCAGCGAAGCAGCGGAATTCAAAACCATCGAGACTCTTCGAGTTTCTGGGGAAAGAAACACCAGAAGAGTCTTCTGGAAGTTTCGCAGCAAATGCAGAGCCTCTTAGTGGGCCCTTTTGCAGAAACTTGGCAGCTTTCTCGGCATTATAGCTGGAGGAAGAGCTGCCGCGGCTGTCGCTGGTGGAGCTCCCGCGGCTTCTCGGCTGCCGTTCTGGCCGCTGGCCGTTTGAGTTTAGAAAAAACTTTGCAAATTGAAAATGAAGTAAATTCGCCGCGACATTGGCCAATTATTTCCGCAAGAATTGCGACGGATCGACACCGGTGGCTTGGCGCGGTGTCTTGCGGGGGCTGCGGCTGCGGGTAGGGGGGGGAGCCGAAACTATTTCTGTTAAGGTTTTAAATGCCAAACTTTCGAGAAAAAAAGAATTAATATGAAGCAAATATTCCAAAAGTGGCAATATAGAAGCAAAAGATCGGGAGGCGCGGCTGTGTGCTCCGGATCCGCAAAGTTCTCGCTGGGGCTTGCTGCCGCCGCTCTTCTCTTCGCGGGAGGAAGCAGTTTCAGTTGCTCCTTCGTGTGGAAAGCTGCAATTTTGTGTTGTGTTTCGTTTAATGGGACGAACTGCACATCTAGTTTGTCGCAGTGAGCGAGCTTTGCTGCTGTGTCCCCGTCTCGCTGCTGCTGCTTCCCAACCCCCGTGTGCAGCTGCTGCACCTCAGCAGCAGCAGCGCTTCCCGCTGCAAGTTTCTCTCTAAGTCCGCAGCAGCAGCAGCAGCAGCAGCAGCACCCCCTTGTCTTCTGCGTTGTTTGTTTCCGCAGCGGCTTGTGTTGAGGCGCGTGGCTCTGCGCCAACTAACCCCAGTAGATCTATTTGATTATTTTTTGTTCTTCAAAATGAAGCTCTACCTCAAAAAGAGAAGTGGCAAGTTCCTGGACGCCTGCGAGGTCTCCGACGAATGCACAGTCGAAGAGTTCAAGCAGCACTTCTACAAGAAGTGTGAGTTGTCTTCTTTTGCTGCAGCAGTCTCTTCTTTTGCTGCAGCAGTCTCTTCCTTTGCTGCAGCAAAGCCCAACGCAAGTGCAGCATTAACAGCAGCAACTAACAGTGCTTTGGACTTCAAATTTGCTTCGCTGCTGCCCCCAAACGGGACGCGCAAACACTCGCAGGTCTTCACTTCTTCCGGAGTGGCTGCTTGTCTTCTGGCTTGTTTCTGTTTGCTGCTGCTCTTATGCAATGCCTATCAGTCTTTAGTGCTGCTGCGTGCTGCACCTGACACAAGGGAGGCCCCTGCTGCGCATATTGCCCAGCAGCTGCAGCAACACACGCATGCTGCGCGCTTGCTGCTGCGCTGCTGCTGCTGCTGCTGCGCTGCGGCCACTGCTGCTGCGCTGCGGCCACTGCTGCTGCTCGGAAGCGGTGTGTCCCTTTCTGCTGCAGATAGGTACTACCCGGAGAGGCAGTGGTGGACTGTGGGCCAGCCCCAGGGGCCGGCTCTGCGGGGTGATGGTCTGTTGACGAGCTTTGGGGTGCAGGACGGCGAGACGCTGTTCTTCAAGGATCTCGGTGGGTTGCTGCAGCTGTAAGAGTCTGAAGGGATTAAAAATGTGTTTCTAATTCAGTGGAGGCAGCTGCAAGTCTTCATTGTCCGCCGTTGTGCCGGATCGCACGAAGTTGAATTGGCTCGGGTTTGGGAGGCCGCAGGTGTACGTACAGCTGGTGGCGTCTTCAGGTGTACAGATTTCCTGGCGGTTGGTCTTCGTTCTCGAGTATTTGGGGCCGCTTTTTATATTTCCAGCATTTTATTTCTTTCCTTCGGTTTTCTACGGAGAGAAAAATGCGCCGCCTAAGAACCTGACACAGACGTGAGGCAGCGGGGTCCCGTGGCTCTCCGGGAGCAGCAGATTCGGATTTTCTGCAGTTTTGAATTTCACGAATTGTTTCTCAAATGAACAAAACACATTTCTAATCAACTTAAAGTGCTGCCGGACGCTGCAGTTTGCAACTCCAGCCAAAAAGAAGTGGCGCATTCCCCGAACTGCACTGCAGCAGCTTTTCTAGTAAACCTGCGAAGGCTGCGCAGTCTCTGCTGCTGCTGCGGCCCCTAACGAGTCCCTTTTGTGCTAATCTTTTGCTGCTGCGGCGGCCCCCAACGGGTCCCTTTTGTGGTATTCTGTTGCTGCTGCTGCGGGCGACAAGGGGCGGTTTGCGTTGCGTATTGCTGCTGCTGCGGCGGCGGCGGGCGGCTCCGAGTGCGCTTTGCTGCTGCTGCTGCTGCTGCTGCTGCTGCTGCGGTGCAGCGTGGCGCTGTGGCTGTTCGTGGGCCACTTCGTGAAGCGGGAGCTGGAGACTCTGTTTGTGCACCGCTTCAGCAACAGCACAATGCCCATAGTCCGCGTGCCCCTCAACTGCGGCCACTACTGGCTGCTCTGCGCCGCCAGCATTGGCTATTTCCTTTTTCACCCCAAGTTCCGCCCCGCCTTCACCGGAGACTGGCAGGGCCTTGTTTACCTGCTTGCTGCGCTCTTCATCGTGGGGCTTGTTCAGTATATAGATATATATAATTATATATATATTATATATATTAGATGTAATATAGTATAGTCCTCGTGGGTCTTGTTCATTATATAGATATATGTAATTATATATATATATTGTATGTAGTATGGTATGTTCCTCGTGGGTCTTGTTCATTATATAGATATATTATATACATAGTGTTATATGTATATTATATATAATATGGTATGTTCCTCGTGGGGCTTGTTCAGTATATATGTATGATATAATACATAATATATATATTATATATATTATAGTATGTTCCTCGTGGGTCTTGTTCATATAATATATATGTGGAATATATATGTATATTATATGTAATATATTCCTCGTGGGTCTTGTTCATTGTATAGATATATTATATATATAATCTGTAATATATATATATATCTATGTATTATATATAATATGTGTAATATTATGTATTATGTTCCTCGTGGGTCTTGTTCATTGTACAGGTATATATATAATGTATAATGTATATAATATTATATATAATATATATAATATTCCTCGTGGGTCTTGTTCATTGTATAGATATGTTGTATATATAATGTATATATAATATATATATATTATATATGTGTAATATTATATATTATATTCCTCGTGGGTCTTGTTCATTATATATATGTATATGATACATAATATATAGAATAATATATATGTTAATATATATGTAATATTTTATATTCCTCGTCGGTCTTGTTCATTACATATATAGATATATATAATATACATATTATATATATTATATATATAATATATATATAATATATGTAATATATATATTATATATATAATACATATATATGCGTGCACGTTTGCAAGTGTGTGGGTGTGCATTTGCGCGTGAAGGGGCGTGTGGATATATGCAGGTGTGCAGCTGTGTATGCATATGTGTTTATATGTTTATATAATATATATATATATATATATGTATATGTATATGTATATATGTAATTATATATATATATATATATATATATATATTTATATATTTATACATAACGCATATACATAATATGTATATATATATTTGTGTATATATAGAACATTTATATTAAAAAGAAAAAGAACATATTAATTGCATGCAGGTGTTCGAGGCCTTGAACTTCAAAACGCATTTGATTCTGCGGGGCCTTCGCTCTCGAGGCACTCGCCAGCGGGGCATTCCTTACGGCGCGGGCTTTGACTTGGTGAGCTGCGCGAACTACTTTTGGGAGACCATGGCCTGGCTGGTCTTCGCCGTTTTGGTCTCTTGCTTCACAGGTGCGCTTTGCTGCTGCTGCTGCTGCTGCTGCTGCTGCCTTGCTGCTGCTGCTGCTGCTGTGTTGCTGCTGCTGTGTTGCTGCTGCTGTGTTGCTGCTGCGGCTAGGCTCTGCTGCTGCTAGGCTTTGCTGCTGCTAGGCTTTGCTGCTGCTAGGCTTTGCGGCTTTGCTGCTGCTGCTAGGCTTTGCTGCTGCTGCTAGGCTTTGCTGCTGCTGCTAGGCTTTGCTGCTGCTGCCATTTGCACAATGAAGTGGTTTGCTGCTGCCCTTGGAATAATAGAGTGGTTTGCTGCTGACCTTTAATGAAGAGGTTTGCTGCTACCATTTGCGCAATAAAGTGATTTGCTGCTGCTGCCGTTTGAATAATAAACTGGTTTTCTGCTGCGCTTTGAATAATAAACTGGTTTGCTGCTGCTGCCCCTTGGATGATAAAGTGGTTTGCTGCTGCCCTTTGCAGAGTAAAGCAGTTTACTGCTGTCCGAATAATAAAGCGGTCTGCTGCTGCCCCAGTTGCTGGAATAATAAAGTGGCTTGCTGCTGCCCTTTGCAGAATAAACAAGTGCTGCTGCTGCAGCGGCAGAGTTTACGTGTAAATTCGCTGTTTAGGATATTTTTGTTGATCTTGTAGAGGAGCAGCAGCAGCACGAGGCGCCGCATTTGCTGCTTGCTGCGATCTGCTGCAGCGTGGCTGTTCCTGGTAGTTGCTTTCGCCCAGATGGCGGAATGGGCCCTCAAAAAGCATCGCAATTATCTAAAAGAGTTCAAAGATTACCCAAAGTGAGGAAAAGCTGTCGAAAGAAGTCGCTAAGGAAAGAAGTGGCTAAGGTGGCGTTTGGCTGCGCGGCGGCGCCGTGCAACTCTGGGGTGTACGTACACCTGGCTGCAGCTGCTCGCGCGATCTTCTGCGCTGTCTGCGTGCAGGAACCGCAAGGCAATCGTGCCATTTATTTTGTGAAATAAAAGATGTTTTTCGGCGGCTCAAAGCCGGGGACAGGCCAGTGTCTGTCCCGTTGAAGTGCACTCCGAACTTCGCTTCTGGAAGCCACCCTTGCATGCACCCGCCGGCAAATGCACTTCTCTTCGTGTCCACAGAAAGCAAAAGCAGCAGCCCCGCTGCCCCCTTTGTTCCCCGCCCTAACCCGAGACAGAAATAAATCCCGAGAAGTCCCGGAGACCCTCCAGTGCCACGCAAATAGTCTTATTAGTGCAGATTAGTCTTTACAGCAAAGTGGACTTCTTTAATTTTTAGTATTAAAGAGTGGCCAAGTGGCCTGCAGCGATCTTCCCGTAGCCAACTATCTAACTTGGCACTGCAGAGAAATCGAATGCCCATAGAAAGGCCAATACGCGAAACTTGCAACTGCGCCTAGCTGCTGCTGCTGCTGCTGCTGCTGCTGCTGCTGCTCCTAAGCGGAGCCCTAGCTCTGGAAGCTAAGCAGTAGAGATAGTGGAGCTATTTGCTGCTGCAGCAGACTTTCTCAACCTTGAAGGCAAGCCGCCAGTGACTGTTTCCCTGGATGTTTACTTGAATAAGTGCAGCCTGCTGCAGTGCAGCAGCCTGCTGCAGTGCAGCAGCCCGCTGCAGTGCAGCAGCTTGCTGCAGTGCAGCAGCCTGCTGCAGTGCAGCCTGCTGCAGTGCAGCAGCCTGCTGCAGTGCAGCAGCCCGCTGCAGTGCAGCCTGCTGCAGTGCAGCAGCCTGCTGCAGTGCAGCAGCCTGCTGCAGTGCAGCCATTGTGTTGGCCCCGGGAAAGCCCAGCAGTTTGGCTGCGCCCAGTAGTGAGAAGTGCAGGTTAACCTTTAACAAACGAAGCGAGCTAGCAGCAGCGCATGCAGCAGACGGGGCCTTGCTGCTGGCTCTCCTGACAAACTGCGCAGCAGTCCCGCTGCTGCTGCTGCCGCGACTGCGGCGCTGCTAGCCGTTCCTGCCGTTGCTGCTGCTGCTGCTGCTGCTGCTGCTGCATGCGCCGCCGCCGCCCCACTGTGGGGCCCCGCAGCCCCGCCCCCGCAGCAGCCCCTGTGCGCCCCAAGCCGCCTGCAAGGCTCTAATCTGCTGCTGCTGCTTCCCTGAAAGCTGGGGCGGCGCTGCTGGCCTTTCTCCTGTCTGGCTCCGCCCCAGCCCCGCTCTGGGGCCCCACTGGGGCCCCCTGGCTGGGCGAAACTGTCTACCTGCGCATTCGGCGGAGTCCAGCGCATGCAGGGGCCGGGAAGCCCCGGCTCAGTCTTCGAAGTTGGGAAAGCAGTCTCGGAACTGGTGCTTGGGGTGCTTGGACTCCATGTGCTGCTCCAGCGTCGGCCGCTTGATTGTGCACATGAAAGTTTGTCTGCAAACTTCGCAAACAACGTTTAAGTTCTTGTCTTTGGACTTGAGAGTGGAGTTTTGCATGCCGCGCTGGTTGCGCCGCTGCGCACGTTCGCGGTCCACGTCGCGCTGGTTCCCGCGGGTCATTTTGGCCGGCCGGGCGAGGATTAAGGATTAAAAATGACTAAATGGCAACGCTTTTCAACAAATTACAAAGACAATTCCTGCAAAGGAACCTGGTTGGGCTCACTGCGCCTCTATCTGGCACGCGAACAAACGGGGCTGCGGAGGCTTCGGTTTTGCAGGATCTGATGACACGCTGCGACATGCTTGCGGCGGTGCTCACCGGCTCGCGATTCACAGCTTACACCTGCATTTCTCGTAAATTAAAAGAATATTTAATTAAATAGGATTATAATAGTGGCAAAGAATAGTTATATTGCTTGGAAGAACGGCGGCGTGCCCCCGTCCATAGCCGGATGCTCGGGGGGTTCCGCTGGCGGGCACAGCTTCCTGCCACCCCAGCGGCTCTTGTGGTTTTATGAATTTGGCGGTTAGATTGTGTATTGAGAATTAAATATAATTAAGTTGAAGACAACAGACTCAAATAGGCATGCAACGCTGCAAATTGACCGCGAAAACAGGCGACTGGTGCATTGTTCCGGGACCTTACACCGGGGAGCGCTTGCGCGTGTTCCAGAGCGAAAGCGGGAGTCAAGCTATTTAAATTCCAACGTCTCCAGATTTGAAATGGATTCATAGAGTGAATAGGACATGCCAGCGAAATTTCTCGCTGGTCTGTTGCACTGGTTCCTTATAGAGGGGTGCGAGCAACCGCAGCAGCACACCTTCTCCACGATTGCTCATTTTCTTGAGAGATTCCGCCGCACGAATTGTCTTTAAGAACACGGCTGTGCTCAAAGGGATTTTGTTCATCTGTGATATTACTTGTACGAGAGGCAATCCGGAAGAGCGAGGGCGGGCAGTCTTGGGTTGTGATTTCAAGAGGCTTGAGCATCTACACGAAGCCTATGAGTAAATCCAGCACTCGCTATAGCTCTTAGCGAACTTTTGCACTGGACGGCGCTTCGACAGGCCACACTTCGTCTCAGGCGAAGGTGCGGAGTTTGATAAGAGAAGAGCAGCTGAGGAATCCACGTCACTGCAGAAGGGCATTTCCACCAAAGTAGTTGCCTCTACTGATGCATTAGGCCAAAAGCAAGTGGACAGAACGCACGGATATACCACAACGCTAAGCAGACGCGCGTCAGCAATGAAGCAAATGTCTTTAACGATATTACGGGCCAACAGCGCGTTGGAACTTATCTAGAGTGCTCAGCCCTGAAAGCTTTCTACCTTACAGCTCGAAACATAGCTTAGCGTTGACTACCAGCTAGCGCTGAGGACTTGGTGTGGAATTTCAAATAAATGCAAATCCGCGAGAAAACAGTCGAAATGACGCAGCTAAATTAGATCTCGATTTGCAGTACAGGATCAGAGTCTATGGGTTTCAACTTTCTGGGGAAGCTTCTGAGTTTAGTGGTTACTATTAATCTAGAAACGAGCATATCAGTGTTTTCACGAATATAAAGGAGTATCTTTGCGTTTATGAGATGGCTTAAGCAGAGCGCTGAAATAAGTGAAAGGAAAGCAACAACGCAGCTGATAAAGCGGAAGGAAAAGCTGGTCACAATGAAACTATTTGAAGGCGAAGTGCTGCAGAAAAGTAACTGGCTTTATAGTTCTCCAGAGTTGCGTATCCTAGCTGGACTTCAACAAAACCACGCGTCTGCGCAATTCAGATGCAGCTCTTCCATTCAAATCTGTGCACCAGGCCATGGATCCGGAGTTTCTCCTGGCCAAAGCAATTATTTTCCGGCTTTTTGAATCCACTCATGTAGACTATGGCTGGCAAGCAGCTTTGCGTGTCACTGGAGGTATAAAACCTTACCTTGCAAGGACAGAGTTCAACCATTTTACCAAGAGGAGCGTTGACTACAATAATTCTACTTTTAAGTTCTTTTTATCGATCCTTGTTTTTCTATTTTTCAAAGCAATGCAAAGCTTATTTGAAGCAGTGTGCATTTGCAAGCCTCGCCAACCAGATCCCATCAGGGGAACCTTCGGCAAAGTGATCTACCCTTTCACTCAAAGACAGCTTCATCGACAGCATTTGGCAACTAAGAGGAAGTTTCATTTTTAGTTCCCTGTTTTGATAGGCTCTGCGTTGCATGTGTCAGACTACCCGCATTTTACAGATTAATACAACAAGAGGCGCATTCACTTGTAGTGCCAAATACGAAGCTCACGCCCTATCTCCCCAGGCAATCAAGTACACTTCAAAGACCTTTTGCAGCACTATAGAGGGAATGAGTTGGTGCTGGCATCTTAAGCCGTCACAGTTGACGTCATCTATCCGCAGAGAAATCCAGAACTTGCACAGCTACGTGTGGCCTCAGTTCTTGCTTGAGATCTTCCAACACTTGAGACACCAGAAGACAGTCAAGAAAAGGGAAAATGAGTCTAATGCATTCCGTTGTCGTGCAACATGTGCTAGGCTCACCGCTTTTATAAGTAGCAGTAGCAGCGAAGCGACAGCAGCGACTGCCTCTCCAAGTATACGTAGCGCCGGGCTTGCCGGCACTGTGTCTCTGCCTTTTGGGAAAGAATAATCTAGATTTATGCCAAAAAGGGCATCGGAGGCGGAGTGACTCCTTATCAACTCTAAGGAGAGCCTTTTCGTGTTTCGCCTTTGTCGAGTCTGCTGCGCCGCCGACTTCATAAGACAGCGAGTTGGTCCTTTCCTCTTTTCTGCGGAAACTAAAAACTTTCCAAACTACTTATATTTACCTCGTTTTGGCATTTCCGGGCTGCATGCTCAAATGTACGTCTTCTCGTGGCTAGCCAATATCGAGCACGCCTGTTCCCTACTCGCCACAACAGAAGATGCGCTTCGCGGTAAGGCCACTCCGATCTAAAAGCGTCAGGAAAAAACCAATAAGCTAATGCATTTGTCTTTTAATTGAAGAGCCGCAAGGACTTCCCGGCTTATCGCGTTTTCGCTTGTTTTGCCGAGAGTCGTGCGGGCACGGGGCCCCGACCAGCGCGAGTGGGCGGTGGTGCTCGAGTGGTAACTTCGTTCTCTTTTCAAGTATCTGAAGCCTCGATTAATGTTTTACAGATTTTCGTTTGTAAAATATATTCGAGGCTTTTAGTAAACTCGGCTTCAGTTTGCAGGGAAGACAGGCAACGGTGCTTGATCTGGATGGACCAGCCCATTGCCCTGGTCGTCTGTGTCCCATTCAGCAGCACAACATGGACCTATCAAATCATTGAGGCCAAAGAACCAGACATTTTGGCCTTTGGGCAACACGTATATCGGCTTTCATAGTGTCCGCCCTCGTCAGTTGCAGTTCTCTCTCTTTTTTGTCTCGGGCCGTCCCAAGGGTGCAACTCAAAGGGAAGAAGGGCACATGCATGAGACCGCCGCCTTGCAGCGCCTCCGCTGCCTCTCTTTAGGCATCGACTAAAAGGGTGGGAGATGCGGGGCACCTCTGTCCTGCGATGGCTGCTTGTAGCCGTTGCATTCACCTCTTTGGGTGGCTGCACAGGAGCGCCTTTGACTCGTGTGTATCCCCAGGCCGCGCCTCCCGCGGTGGAGGGACCCAAATCGTCCTTTCTTCTTTCCAGAAGTTCTCAGAAGGCCACAAAAGAAAGCCTGAGCACCGCCAAAGGGGCCAAAGGCGCGCTGGCCGACTCGGCGAGCTCTGCCGTGGCTGCGAGCAGCGTCAGCAATGAAGCCCCTGAAAGCTCTAGTGCGGAAAATGAAGGCAAAATCGAAACAAAAGCTTTAAATAAGCGTTTGGCAGCAAGCGAAGAGCGCCTGGGAAGCGGGCGCTTCCGCCGGGGAGAACAGGGAGTTCTGTCCAGTGACGCGCTTGACGCTGAGGCTCAAGAGGCCGCCTTGAAAGCCACGGAATCCTTAGAGCTGCAGGCTGAAAGCAAGGACCCTTCGCTTGCAAGTGAAAGCCCCGCAGCTTCGCACCTGCAGGTGGGCGTGAAGCAGATCTTCGACCAGCTGCTCACAGGCATGCTGGGAACAGGAGTGAACTTGATTCAAGGAGGAGCCATGGGGGCTCAGCCCATGACAATGGCTCCGGCCGTGGGCTTCGGGCCTGCGCCCGCCTACTACCAAGCCCCGGACACGGGGCTGTCTACGGTGGAAATCATTTTGATCATCAGCGGCGGCATTTTGGTCATTGGCCTTGTGGGGCTCCTTGTGTGGCTGGCCACCCGCAAGAAGAGCCGAAGGCGGTGAACAAGGGATGCAGGCCTCCCCCCTTTTCCCACTTTTCTCTATTCCCGCAGGATCAGCCAAGTCTGGCTTGTTGCTGGCCTTGGGAAAGCGGAAAGGGAACAGCCAGAGAGCCCAACGCGCCACTCGCAGTCTCGCCGGGGGCGCAGTGCCATCCACTCTTTTCAGTCTGGTAGGCGCGATCTACAGCAGTTTTAGCTCTACAGAGAATCACTCTTTCACTCCGAAATGGATTATTGTAGACTGCGCTCTCCGGGGGGAGGTCCCTCCGCGGCTTATTTCATAGGCTTGCTTCTGAGCAAGGCTTCATTGAAGTAAGTTGCCCCTCAACCTGCCGTCTCTCCGTTTCTGGCGGGCTGGTGCAGCAAATATATGTATTGCGTTTCTATTTATTTCAATTGATTTCTGTTTTCGCCGAGGTACGGCACGCTGAGGAGGTTTTGCCTGCCGCTGGCTAATCTATTCGGAAACGTAACAGCACACTGCAGAAGTGCAAACTTTTTAGCTTTAGTCCTACTTTCCGCATTTCTTTCACGTTTTTGAGGGAATCTCTGACTCAAAGCTGTCTCGTGAGTTGTCAGGGCTGGGGACCTCAAGTTGCCTTCGAGATTGCATTCCTGCAATTACTTTGGACCCGCCCAGGCCAGTTTCTCCCCCTTGTTTCCTGGAACTAGGCTCCAGGTTAAGATGGCTAGCCGAGCCCTTCAGCAGGGGCCGGGGCCCGGATAATTAATGTCTGCACATTTTTAGTCACTAGCGCAACGCAGTGCGTCAGTCAAGGCGTATGTTTGTGTAGCAACCCACCTCAAGCCGCGGCGTTCACAGCCACGCGGCTGCGACCGCCCACACCGCAGTATCCCAGTTGAAACATAACCCCAAAGGAGCAGCCCCAGTTGGGGCTGGCGCTCATGGCCTCGACACTGTAGTGTGACAGGCTGCAACCTTTCTTCACCTGGATGCTCGCGGGATGAAGCCAACACGGCAGAGTCCCGCACCTTTTCTAGAGGGGTGGCGTGCTGGTGTTTCCTTCCGGCACGGATTACCGTGCAGGTTTGCAGAAGGCACCGTATGCTTCGCGGAGCGGTGGTTTCTCCCGTTTTCTTTCTTTGGAAAACACGAGTGCTTTCTAAAAGTGTTCCGTTTCCTGCAAGCAACCTTAGTCGACTTTCTTGAGGACCGGGGATTCGTAAGCAGCTGCAGATCCCCCAACCACGGGGGCGCTGCTTTCCCCTTCGATGGCCAGAGCAGCACTGGCTTTCTGTGGAGGGATTGTTGCTGTGCCCTCGACGGGCTTCGCCGCGCTGTAGGACACAACGGGCGGGTTCGGGGGCAGTGGACCAATAATACACAACACGGCGGGAAGCAGGATCATACCAAACCCAAAAGACAACACGAGAACCTGCAGCAGCACAAGGCCAAAAAATCCAAATCGGTAGAGTGTGAACGGACACTAGTTTCTAGTGAAGCCATTATTGCGTGAACTCCGCATGCAACGCAAACCACTCATGAAGACTGACTCGAGAGTACCACTATTACCATATCATCCAGCATGCGCAGACAAGTATGTACTTACCAGAACCATCATTCTGAAGAAGGCAATCAGCACGAACTTGGTGGTGCCCACGAGGTAGAAAACGGCCAACAAAGTACTGAGCATGCCGTTGGCCACTGGGCAGCCCATCATCAACATGCCTTCCGTCATGCGCGCTTCCCGCGTGGCTCCGCAGCCGTGGGTGAAGGCATGCAGCAGGAACAGAGTGCTGTCCACTGAGTAACCTGAATTCAAAATTCAAAATAAACAAAAACGGCAGTGGCCAGTGCAGCAGGAACATCAAATGGAAGCAAGTGCTGCATGCATGCAGGAGCCTTGAACACAGAATCAGTCCTCCTGACCAAGACCAAGCTCCCTAGGCGGCGAAAGCTAACTCAGCTTACCAATGGCCAGCAGGAGGTTCACCATAGTGATGAGGTTCAGGCGAAGACCCCACAAGGTCATGAAGCCGAAGAGGCACAAATCAACAAGCAGCACTGTGAATGCCACGATCAGCACGGACAGCAGGTCAGGAATCAGCAGCACCGTCATCTGAACATTAAGAAACACGCAAAGGACACACTCGACAGTGAAACTTCGCAACACTGCATCACGGAAAAGAATGCAAAAAGTCTCGCCGAGGTAGTAAAGTGACACTGATTCCTTGTTCCTCTCTGCAGAAGACAGCAGAGGCGAACCTAAGGTAAGTGACTGGAAAGTCTCATCTCTCGCACCCAGTCCATCAGATTGTGAAGCTTTCAAAGGGCCCAGTTGCAGGGGTTGGAACGACACTCACAAAGATGATAGCAAGAAGGGCTGACAGAAGACTGTTCACTGTGCTCTTGACTGTGAACGGGTCGCTTTCCCAAAGCAGGGCCAGTGGCGTGAAGGCGTGGCACTCGAAGTACTCTGCAGAGTCGCGGATCAGTTTTTGAGTGTGTTTGAACCAGTCCAGCAGCAGATCGGCGTCGAGAGAGTGAGGCAGCCAAAATGTGAACTTCCACGCAGCCAGGCGAGGCCCGGGGGAACCCGGCGGCCGGGTGTCCCACAGAAAGGAAGTGCGGAACTGACGGCCAACAGGGTCTTCCTGAAGCCAACTGTAGAGTCTGAAATGACAGAATCAAAGGAAACAGAACAAAACAAACAGTTTTGTGGACAGAAATAAACGGAAACAGAACAAAACAAACAGTTGCATGGATGGCCGCGCAGCTCTTGAGTTGAAAAGGGAGAGGCGAAGGCGCAAAAGCCAAATCTGCTGCTCATGAAGCCTTGAAGAACAGCAAAGAAAAGTGAAATCTTGCTGCAACTGAATAGGCAGGACTTGCAGTGGCATAACTGGACACTGAACGCTAAACCTCCAAATATGACTCAACAACAAATCTGATGTGGGGTCAGCTTACGCGTCATAGAACTCTCTTTCGTTTCCATCTTGTAAGGAAGCGTTCTTCTCCTCGAGGAACCTGGCCATGCCGTTGTAGAGTGCAAGAGCGTGGCCAGAGGCCATAAGTTCCCTGTTGACTGTCATGATGCGTTCCTTGACTTCCTTGTCGGCCCAGCTTTCCCTCTTGGGAAAGAAGACTGTCACCTCCTCTCCAAGAGAGCTGAAGTACTTGGCGCGATCTGCGAAAAACGGCTGAGACCAGCAAAAAGGACGCAAAAGCAAAACACGCAAGACTGCGACTGACAGCTTCAAACTGCCTTTTTTTTGAAAAGCAAGAGTGCAGACACAAGGGCGGACAAAATGAGAAGCTAGATGGGAAACGTGACACACTGAGCCTTGAATCTGACTAAGTCTGAAGGCTTAATGCCACACTAGAATTGGCCGCTGCTCACAATCAAGTGAGAGTCCGTCGGCGTGATCTCGTCTGCAGTAATGCCAGTTTCCATTTGTGTCACTCCGTAGATGGCGATGCCAACAAGAGCAGCAAAGCCAACAAACACAAGCCGCCGCACCCATCTATTCCCCATCAGCCTGCAGCAGACGCAGCAGCACAGCGGAAGCCCCGATGAAGGCAGCCAAGCAGGAGTTCAACTTGGGGAAAAGGCGCATGCAGATATGACATTCCTCAGCAGGCTCTTTTGTCCGCCAAGTATATAAAAGCAAACTACGGGGTCCCAGGAAGCCTCATGAGCCTCCAAGTGGTGTTTGGCATTAAAATTTTTCAGTGTTCAGTCTTCATTCGAAGGTGATCAGCCGATCTGCCGGTTCGCGTGGCCACGGCCTGACCTGCAGTAGTACTTTCCGAGAATCCTTCTGTAGATCTTGCCCACATTTCCCTTCGGCTCGTTAATGTACCTGTCGAGCACCACCAGAAACTCCTTTTCCTCCATCAACATGTATCCATCGGCAGGCTTTCCCATGCGCATGCGCACGGCGCGCGGGCCGGAGTCTTCTGCATCCTCCTGCAGCTGCAGCGCCTCCGACGCGGCTTCGGACTCTTCTTTCCTGCGCAGGGAGTGCGAAAAGTGCACTTAAAGCGAATTAAGTCGGCAGATTATCCAGAAGCTCTGCTTCTCCCGCACTCTGCAGAAGCAGCAGCGGGCGAGCTGCTGCTGCTGCTGCTGCTGCTGCTGCTGCGCTGCTGCTGCGCTGCAGGAGCCCGCAGCGGGAGATTTCTGCTTCCCAGCGAAGACTCACCTGAGAAGGGCCTCTTCCGCGGCTGGTGGCTCTGCAGCGACGGAGCTGTCCGGCTCTTCGGGCTGCGCTGCCTTCGCGCTGGCCTGGTCTTCCTGCAGCGTCCCGGCCTCGAGCGAGGCGGCCCTGACTGGGGGCTGCGCAGCAGCGCTGGGGGCTGGGGGGTCTGTGGGCTCCGTCTTGGGGGTTTTGCGGAGAAGGCCGAAGAGCTTGGAGAAGCCGCAGCCGCCGCCGGGGCCCTCGCGCTGCTCGAAGCGCGCGGCGGTGGACTGGAAGTACTTGGCCACGATCTCGCGGTGGCGCTGCCAGATGTGCTGCATGCGGAAGGTCATGAGGGAAGCCAGTTCGTAAGTGGAGAGTTTCTTCAAAGCCACCAGCAGCTCGCCTTCGCGGGGGTCGCTGCAGCCCTGCATGTCCACGGAGAGCCCCTCGGGCCCCGCGGCGGAGGAGGAGGAGAGCTGCTGCTGCTGCGCTGCAGCAGCGGGGCTTTCCCGGGGCCCCGCGGCCAGCTGGACTTGGGCTTGGGGGGCCTCGCGGGCCTCGCAAGGGGCCCCCTTGCCCTGCGCAGAAGGCCGGGCTGGGAAGCTGAGAGGACTGCCCAGCGAGTCGGAGCCCCTGTTGCTCTCGAGGCTCTGGGGGGACTTGGCGGATTGGCTGGAAGGCGAAGACAGGGGCTGCAAGACCGGGGCTGAGAAGAAAAGGCCTTCTGCGCAGCCAGGGCCCCCTCGCGGGCCCTGCGGGTGTAGAAGGCCTCCCGCCGCGCGTCCAGAGAGAGGCAACCCAGGAAGATCGTCTGGGCCAACACGTAAGACCAGGCGAGGCAAAAAGCAGTCACTATGGAGAACTTGCTGATGCTGAAGAAGGGGCAGACGGCGCCGATCACGAGCGCCGCCACGCTGGTCATGGTGGTGATGGTGATCGACACGCCCGCGTCCCGCGCAGTGCTCACGATCCGCTGCCGCGGCGTGTCGTGCAGAAAAGTCAGACAGTAAGAATTCAACAAGACGAAAGCATTATCAACTCCGATCCCAAGAACAAGAAAGGGAGTGGCATCAGCGGGGGGGGTGTGTTCAACTCCGCAGAAATAAATAAACCCAGCCCCTCCGGCGTAGCCTAAGAGCGTGGAGGCCACTGACACGATCGCGGGAAGGGTCTTCGTTCTGTAGTTCGTGGTGGTGTTCACCACCACAGTGTAAGTCAGCACTGTCAGCGTGGCCAGCACGAGGGCCACTGTTTCCGCGGGCCCCATGGAGGAGGACCTCATGAGTTCATCGGCAATAGATCTCTCGAGTTTATAAGTCAGAGTGAAGCCTTCTGCGGAAAAGGACTTGGCCACATTTTCGATTTTGCGCTCCAAGGCCGCGGAGTAGGGGGCCACGGCCGCGTGGCCCTGCAAGTCGAAGCGCAGCAAACTCGCCGCCGCGCCTGTCACCCGGTGGATCTGGTGGTCGCCGCCGTCGATCACTGACACGCGCATGTCGCCCAACAAGGACTCGAGGTGGTTGGCCTTGCGGGAGTGGAAGTTGGCGGCCAGCGGCCACTCGCTGGTGGTGATCGGCCGGCCCCACTGCCGCTCCGAGGAGTACAACTCCAGCACTGACAACACGCTGCAGTCTTCCCAAGAGTCTCGAACACAAAGATCCTCGTAAGTCAGGACTGGGGGGAGGCCCTGGGGGCCGCTGGACTCCAACTCATTTCCGTACTCGTCTGTCACCACTTCGTCTCTGGCCACTGTCAGCCCCTTCACCGCAGCCACCAGCCCGCTCAGCTGCTGCATGCCTTCTCGAGTTAATATATTGTCGTTGCGAGAAACAAAGAAGTAGTTGAAGCGCTGGGGCTTGAAGGTGGCCTCCAGCAGCTGCCGCACGTCGTGGCTGGGGGCCCCCGGGTAGCTGTACAACTTGAACATGTCGAATTCGTTTTTGCGGAAGAAGATCCCCGCGGCCATCGCCGCACTCAAAAGGCCAAACCCAACTATGAACTTCCACGCGTGGTCATAGACTATCATTCCGTGGCGAGCGAAGGCCGCGTCCAGCATTTCAGAGCCCTTTTGTTTGAGGCGGGCCAGCCGTTTGCGGGGCCTCGGGGGGCCCCCGGGGGGGGGGGGGGGCCCCCCCCGGGGTTCCCGGGGCCCC